ATTCTTTTCTCTTTTTTTTTTTTAATAATTCATTCTATCCACATGAATACAAATTGGCTAACACCTTTTACATTACACTAACTAAAAAAGCAAATCTATAAATTGAACCTTCTCCATGTTTCACTGTCTGAATAGTGTTCTTCAACAAATTTTCATTTGTTTTCTGTTTTATATAATACTAATTGCTTGACTGACTGAAAATTCCAGTTTCATCTCATCAATCAACAAAATTTTATCTCAAAACGCTTCCTTGTTTAGATGCTCCTTTTAGTAAAAATTAATTTGGCTTTCATGTGTATTTGGTATATTCTTTTGTCTAGGGTCTTTCAGTCTCAAATATTCTTTGCTGTACTTTAACATTCACACCATATGATTTTTAAATTGTTACTCACCTCTTTCATCAGTGGATCTTTATTGATGTCCCTAAAAATCTTTTGCCAGAGTTTTAGTGAAACTTGGATAACCAATTTGTGGAAGATTTTTCAGGTCACCAACCATCTTTAATTCCTTTATGAACTATACCATTGATTAAACAACACTCAGCTCCTTGTAAATCTTGTAATAACCCTTTCCTGCCATGTGCTTATTAAAGAGTTGTCAAATTAATGCAAAGCTTCTTCATCTTCGTCATAATGGAATGAATTCAAGACAATTTCTATATGAATAATATGATGTTTCAAAGATGAAGTTCAATGTTGCTGTGTGTGATCAGCAGTGACACTGAATTTTCTTCATTTTGACCAACCTTTGTGTGCAGCCATCACCATCAACAGACCCAATTCTCATGCAGAATATGACCTGAACAGGAAGATTTGGGTTTATATTGTGAAGTGGTCTGATGACCAGATGTTACCCACGCTGAAGAACCAGATACTGGAATGTGCTGCACTGAAGCAGCTCAGAGAGGAGTACACTCACAAGCTGCAAACCTGGATAGATAATGGTTGGCTACTTCCATATCCTGAAGAAGTGTTCAAAACCCCCTAAGGGCCTAATTCCACTAATGGCTGTGCTGCAAGAAAACAAGTAGAAAGTCAGCCACCTGAAGAAGGCTGGAGCGTACAATGGCTGAAACATTGTGAATATGACAATAAAGATGGAGACAACAGTTTGATGATGTAAATAATGTAAATAAAATCATTTCTCTCACTGTACATTTTCTACCCTCTAACCTTTCTCTCACAGATGGAGTGTGGCAAGCCTCTCACTGCTCTATCACTACTTTCATGGAAAGTGCCCAGACAAACTACATTCCTTTGTTCCACCAGGTCTAACCTTCATGCCATGCCACTTATATTGTAGTAAACCACCCACATTCTCTCTGTGGGAAGTAAGTTTCACTCGAACAGCTTTTTCCCATGAACCACTGCTCTGTGGAACAAGAGGATGTTTCCCCAATCACTACAATCATAACCTATTCAAGTTTAGAGTTAACCATTATCTTCCCCCTCCTATCCATATAAACTACCTCTTAATTTAACCCTCTACTTTGTGTGAAAGACCTTGTACAGGGCGAATCTTACTGTGTAAAAAAAAAAAAAATAAAAAAAAATACTTTCTCTTTTTAAGAAAATCATTCATTCTTTTATTTTCAAAATATTTTTCATATTTTGTAAATTTACAAGAAAGGCATCTAAGTCGTTTTAGAGATGTCAAAACTCAGAAATGATTTTAATTGTAGCAAATACAATAGGGTAAAATGCTTTTTGTATTTGGTTTCGTTTATATCAATTATATATTAATCAGTATAGACATTTTCTTCCTAACTATTATACAATTAAATGAATCTGTTGACTGCTTTAGGTATGGGACATAAAAAAAATCTATATTAAAGTTTAGCTATCTAGCGAAATGCTCAAACTGGACCCACTTATTTTTAATTATAAATTAAACTAACTTTAGATAAAGTTACCACTTAATGTTTAAGCAAAATAATCTTTTTTATTATTGAGAGATTGGAAGTGTTAACCATATTTATAACTTCCTCTAACTCTAAGGGAACACTTTTTTTTTTTTTTTTTTCCAATTGCTGTAGGCAACGACACACAGCTATTATTAAGTGTTCTGAAATAATATACTTGCTAAAGTTAAGGTATTAATCCTAGAATGTCATGGATCTGATTTTATTAAAATTCCATTAACCCAATGTTTTGATTGATTAGTCTCACGATCATGAATCCCATAATCTTTTTGGGTCATAGGGTCACTACATTTACTGCAGCTATAGCAGCAGTGGTGTTTCATGAGCAAGACAGCTTGACAGAGTCCAACCCTCTCTGGGCTAGTTTGACTTCAGTGTTTTCTTTCTCCTAGACTGGCTGCCAACCAACATTATAGGGCCCACTCTATCCTGCTGTTTACTCTTAGCTGGAGGGAGAAGAGATGGATTCATACCTTTTCCAAGCATGTAAGTGAATGTAACAAACTTAACTGGGATTCAAACCCAGATGATAAACTACATCTGGCAGCAAGGCCACTGCTGGGGAACCACCTCTTAATTGCTGTTGTTCCCAGGTTCACCCTGACTTAGGGGAATAGCACCTCTTAAGGTCCCAGCTATGGACAAATAGTGAACATCCAAACAAAAGCAAAAGACTATGAAAGTATAAAAATATGTTTTTATAGTAAAAATACCAGCAATACATTTTTTTTTTTTTTTTTTTTTTAAAAAAAAAAAAAAAATGCTAACAGTACCTATTTATAGTAAAATGATCAACAATGCTTTTTATCTGTAGTTGAAGGCATACAATTGCGTTCAAAATATTCATATTTTGGCAACATATAGCCCATAGAGATGTTGATATGCCACTAAACAAAATCAAACAACCAACATGAAAGAACACTTTCATGATATAAATTTCTTAAATTGAACTGTATTCCAAAATAAAATTTCAACAAAACTACAACATAAAATACACAACTAGTAATTATGTCCACACAAATTTATATATGCACAAAAGCTAGGTATCATCTACCATGTATTCAATTGTGAAAGCAGAATGACATATTTTTATTACTTCAAAACTCCTAAAAAAATTAAATTTTGGTATTAAATGACCCATAAAGAGTTGATATGCCATTAAACAAACATTCAAACTCAGCTCTCCGATTCCTCAATCTGAGTTGCTATCTATTACACCACTGTGGCTCCTTCCTATGCTACACAACCAATAGAAAGAATCAGCCTAGATTTTAAGGGACCTCTTCCTTTTCACTTGCAGAATGTTAATAGTAATCTTGGTTTCCTTTTGCTGTTGCTTGACCCAATATAACAACTACTGTGGTAATTAAATGCTTCACACAGATTTTCATGGTGTTCGGGATTCCTTACATCCACTCTAACCGGGGTTCTTTGTTTCTTTTTAAGGAACTGTGCGATTACTTCACTGATTTGGGCATAGCTATGAGTCAAACAACAACTTACAATCCCCAAGGGAATGGTCAGTGGGAACGATACAATAAAATTAAAGTGCAAGCTGGTAATAAACACGTTTCTAATGCAGTTGTCTCAGTTTTGGGTAGCATTAACCACTTTGAAACTGCATTTTTTAGCTAGTGGTTGTAACTCTTGGACATACTCATCAATATCTTTGTTTTCTCTTTGTCCACGCATTGCTAGAACATGTCTGACAAAGATTTTGTTTGTAGGTTTCACGTATAATTCTTTGATGCGATTTATAGCAGATTCAAAAGTAGCATACTTGGCAATATGGCTGCAGATCTCTGAGGAAATGCTATCAATTTGTCTTGTTCATCATGTACAGTATCATCTGTAGTTTTTCGTAAGAACAAAGTGATGGTCTGATAACAATGATTGAAGATTTTAGTCACAGAGAGTGAGTTAGGAGATACGTCTAATCTCTCAGGTTTCAAAAGTCTGTCAATCCTTCAATCCAGTCTGTTTATTAAATTGTAATAAGCCATATTTCATTTATTCAGAACTTCACTGTTTCTAATGTATCACTCAGTTTTCTGGACCATAGAATGGAGATATCAGTACCATTGACTTGTACACATAAATTTTCACCTTTAAAAAAACATCACAAAAATTCCTAAGCCTGTGGTAAACAGACAGTTTGCACAGTCATCTTAGTTTTATCGGTTAAACCCACCATTTGTCCTAAACTCAAATCTCACATCTTCTTTAACATTCTCAAATGCTGTTTCTAATTTGACAGAAAAATATAAAACAAATGAGAGAGGTGCAAGAACATGAATTTGTTTTATTCCATTAGAGACAATGAATGGGTCAGACACCTGTCCACTTGATATAACTGAGGCCATCATCCCTTGATGGAAAGACATGATGACACTGAGCATCCTTTCAGAAATGTCCAGCTTCCTAAGGATGACCAAGAAGAGCATGCCTTGAAATGGCATCAAAGGCCTAAGTGAGATCAATGAAAGTAACAAATAAATCTTTGTCATGCTCTTGTGTTTTCTCCTGTAATTGCCTGTAAGTCATGTCCACAGTGTTTCTACCAGACCAAAAGCTGCACTGAGATTCAGATAAGACTGAATCAGTCTGTTCAAAATGATCCTGCCAAATATTTTCCCAGCAACACACAGAATGGAGATGTCTGTATAATTGTCACATTCAAATATATTGCATTTGTGCTTATAGAGATGGACAATAGAGTCATCTTTAAAATCCTGAGGAACTTATCTTGAATCCCAGATTAAAAAAAAGAGATCACAAAGTTTATTAACCAAGAGATTGCTGCCACATTTGTATATCTCTTTTGGTATGCCATCATTACCAGATGACTTCCTATTTGTCAGTTATTTTATTGCCTGTTTTATCTCAGTAATAGATGGAGTAGCTGATAGTCCTTTCTATCATTTTTCCCAATTCTTTCCCCGCTTAATATTATCATGTAGATTTCTTGGTTTAAAAAGCATAACTGATTTCAGGTGAGAGGAGCCAGGGACAAGCAGATACTACACTCAAATCCTAGGTAGAAAAGTGTAATGATTGTAACAAGCAGAATAAATAATCAAAAGCCTTAAAATTTATATAATTTAACAATTGTGTATCAATATGATGCAATGTACCAATATCATACAATAATTTTAAATACTCAACAAAGTAGCTAATTCACTTTAGACTACAATTACAAGAGGATGACTCATTATAAATATGTACCATCAACAAGGTAAAATATGTAGATGGAAAATGTGAAATGCAACCTCATTTTACTGACTTAAATTTTTCTGACATAATAAAGTCATTTCAAATGACTAAGGAGATGGAGAATTTACCACAAAGCTTTTCATCACTGAGATCATCACAATCAAAGAAACCATCACAGAAGCTTTCTGAAGGCACACACTGCCCAGAATTACATAGACGACCAACACATTCAGTTACTGCAAAAAAAATTAAGAAAGAATTATGTATTAAAAGTTCAAACAGAAGTAAATCACAAACAATATTTGATATTAGTGGATAGAAAACTATACACCATATCTAAAGTAAAATTATAGAAGACATACATGGATACATACAGGCATAAATTTGAAAGTAAACCTGAATTAACAATTTAAAAATTGAAATCATAACATTTAATTCCCTATCAGTTTCAAGTAGCAATTCTAATGTAGAGAATTTGTTAAAATAATTCATTTTGTTACCTATCATTTGTGAGTCAAAACAAATTTCATTCATTTTTGTATTTGTTTTCTACAGTTGCTAAAAAAGATAATACATTTTCAAAGAAACATTTTAATCATGTGACACAATTAAAAGATAAATATTGATTGGTTAGTTTACCTGAACAGTTGCGTTCATCAGAATAGTCTTTACAATCTTGGTAGCCATTACATCTGCGAGATTTCATCACACACTGACCACTGGCACATCGGAACTGATTTGATAAACATGCTAGAAAAAAGAAAAGCATTATTAATAAATAAATAAGCACAAAAAATAGGGGAAATTTATATTTTGACTTTTCACATTTTGTAATATTTCTGTTCATGTTATAGTATTAAATCTCTATTGAATATTTAGATATGAGATTTGAGTCATGTAAGGTCCAAGTATAGATCCAGAACTAAGCATAAATGTGCAAATACACACACATTCAGATACATGTTATTGATACTTCTATAAATTCTAAGTAATGAGGGATCTGTGTATATATACTTATATTTATATATATATATGTGAATAACTAGTTTATATTCTTTGTTGTATGCTTGTATATTTATTTGTATCAATATATATTTCTATAAATATTTGTCTATATCTATTTTTATCTGATATTGGCAGTGATCAGTCAATGTAAGTTTAAAATCTAGAATTGTGTCTGTCAATGAATGTAGATATTTATTTGTTAAGACAAAATTTAAAATAAAGCATACAATTTTAAGTGCATGTTATAGAATGCTATTATCATTTTATTAATATTTGTATGGTACCAGTTAAAGAGTGTATTGACTTGGCTTAAAACTTTATTTTTATCATTAAGTTTTAAATTCATTCACAAAGATTCTATATTTATGTTTATTATTCTAACATTGAAAATAAAAAAATCATTTTCAGCATATTACACTTTTTTAATTTAAGAAAGATAAAAATAATGAAGCATAATATTAAGAAAAATAAAACTGCAAATCAAATGCAAAAAGTGATTATCAAAAATGGTTTGTTAAGTTTCATCCTGAAAATTTCTCTCTCTGTGTTGGGTAGGTAAACCAGTTGATGTTGATAGTGATTGAATAAGAACATTACATGAGAATAATCAGCTGAATAATTCTTGTTTCTTTGGTTGGTTGGTTTTACTTTGAGAAGGGTTTTTTGGTTAGGCTGAAAACTTTCAGAACTCCCTTGTATATACAGGGTGTATCAAAAATACTTTTACAAATTTGGGGGTGGAGTTCTTCACACCAAAAGAAGGACAAAAGTCTACATAAACATATGCCTGCAAATCCTGGGTTTTTGAGATATTAAGTTTAAAGAAAGTTTATGGTAGATAGCACTATGTTCCTATGTAAACTAGGTTACATTTGTCACTCATGTACATTTGTGGCTAGTCAGTTTTCAACATTTAAAGTATGTAGTAGTGAGTTAATTGAGAAGTGTTCCATTTAACAGTGGCACGATATTCATATCATGAGCAGGCAGAGATGATTTTTACATATGTCCATAAGAATGTTAATGGGCGCCAGTCTGCATGACTGTATCAGATTGTGTTTCCAATCTGAAAACAGCCAAGTCATCCAACCTTTGCTGCTGTTTATCATTGCATTGCTGAGACAGAATCCATGGCCTCACAAACTATGGATTGAAGAAGACTGAGATCTGCTCATACGCCTGACACATTCTACTGGCTGTTGGAGATGAACCAGGTATCAACACACATCACATAGTACTGCATGGTGGGTACTTCAAGAGCAGCTCCTGTATCCATATCATTTGCAATGTGTGCAGGGTGTTTTGCTCTCTGATTACTCACCATGGGATAACTTTTGCCGATGGTTTAGTGCACAAACTTCAATCCATTGTTTGTCTCTTTAGACACAACTAACATCTGGAAGTAGATCAGAATGCCTATGATACAATACAGGTTAGACACCAGCGTCAGTTTATGCTTAATGTGTGGTCTGGAATTGTAGATGACTGTCTTGTAGGTCTATATGTTCTCCCAGCATGTCTTATAGGAGCTGTCTACAGGGACTTCATTTCAAACACACTTCCAGTTCTGCTAGAGAATGTACTCCAGCTAATATGAAGAGACATGTAGTGTTAGAAATTTATGCATCAAGTTAGATAGCAAACATAGACATACCTTGTTTTGCGTGAATGCAGGTATTCAACTTTATATTCCAGACAGTAGGATAAACTCAATAAAGAAACAAACACATATTGTACTGTGTTAGCACACATGGTGGCTTATTTTATTTATTAGAGACAACACAACAGTGCACCCTCATAATAACAATAAAAACAAAGAAACGATGGGTAGATAACTCTCTTTCCTTTATCTAACTGTAAGTGTTCATCTGACTAAAGTGGAATTTTCAACACTCCTCCTCATTTGTTGACTGATTATTCTATTATTTCCCTAACTCCCAACAGTTCTCTGAGCTTCACAAACTGTGTGCTAGTCACTCCTTTTGTCAGCACTCCTGCAATCATATCCTTACTTTGACAGTATTGTAGTTCAGTAGTTTTCATTGCAACTTGCTCTCGTATGTAATGAAAGTTAATGTCAATATGTTTGCTTGTCCATGATACTGTGGATTTTTTACCATACAAATCATAGATTAGTTGTCCTCATAGATGATTGTTGGGCCAACATGGGCTTCATTAAGATTGTATTAGAAAAGCTGCATCCATACTGCCTCCTGTGCTGCACTTGCCAAAGCCATATATCCCACTTCAACTGTAAATAATGAAACACAGGTTTGCTTTTTACCTCTTCAACTGACAGCTACCCACATAGTTTAAACAGGTATTCTGATGTTGATTTGTAGTCATCTGGTTCACCAGCCCAATCTGCATCAAAATATCCCATCATTAATTTTATCATCGAGTAGCCCATAGTTACACATACCATTTAAGCAACACATAATATGCTTTACAGCCTTTCAGTGTTGAACTGTAGGCTAGGAACAAAGTCTTGCTACATTTCCAACAGTATAGATGATATCAGTCAAGTCCTTGTTGACAAATAAAGCAAGCATCCAATTGCTGACTGAAATACTTCCTGACAGAATGGCTCACTGTTTTTTCTGCTTTTGTCAACTTTGTACCTTTGATTAAAGCCTTGAGATACCAGCTGAACTTTGTGTTGTTCCATGTCTCCATTAGCATCATATTTTTGTTTGAACACCCACTTACTACCAATAGCTTTCTGTCCACTGGGTAGTTCAACCAAGTCACATACTTTATTTGTTCGAAGTGAATCCAATTCCCTTTTCATTGCTTTCTTCCATTCATTTTTCTCAGGACTGAAAAGTGCTTTTTTCACAGTTAATGGATCATTCAATCGGTAAGAAATGTTTACCCACTTGCCATAGCAATCTGGGGCTTTCATGGCTCTTTTTTGATTTCCTTAGTGCTGTAGCTTCCTATGAGTTACTTTCATTATCACCATCATCATCCTCACTGATACTCTGACATTGAATTTCAACAAGAGGATGGTTTTTGATTCCCCCTTTCTTTTGTTCATCTGATGATTTTGTTTTGTTGAAAATCACATCTCTGCTATGGAAAACTCTCAGTTTTCCTGTATCATAAAGTTGATACCCTTTAATGCCAATACCATATCTGAAGGAGATGCTCTTTTTAGCTTTAGGATCCATTTTGTTCTATCATCCTTTGGTATGTAAACATAAGCACTACACCCAAAAACACATAAATATCTCACAGTTGGTTTGAAGTCTGTTTATAATTCATATGGTGTCATTTTTTTGTACTGCGGTTGTTAGGCTTCAATTTTGAATATATGTAGCTGTCAATAAAGCTTCTGCCCCAAATCTCATTGGAACATATGAATCAGATAGCATTGCTTGTACAGTTTCTATCAGTGCCTGATTCATCCTTTCAGTCACTCCATTTTGCTCTGGTGTCTTAGGAACAGTGTGTTGATGGTGTATATCCTCCTTTTGTAGGTAGTTTTCAAATTCTCTTGAAGTATACTCTCCGCCATTGTTAGCTTGTAGTGTTTTCACTTTCTTTCCACTAGACCTTTCAACCATATTTTCCCACTCCACAAAATTCTTAAAAACTTCTCCCTTATTTTTGAGCATGTACACCCATACAAATCTTGATCTATCATCAATAAATATGACAAAGTATTCAACTCCACCAAGTGCTTTTGCTTCAATCATTCCACATACATCAATGTGTACAATTCAAAGCAATTTGGCTGATCTGCTTACACCAGCTTTGGAAATGAAAAACTGGTGATGTTTTCCATTCATGCAAGGTTCACAAAAGCTCACATTCTTAGTGACATCAAAATTAAGGCTAGTTACTAGCTGATCTCTTGCTAGTTTCTACAAATTCTTTGTTCCAAGATGACCAAAATGCCAATGCTAAATTTCTTCTTTATTATCATTACTTGAGCAATTTGCTGCTGCATGGATCACTTCTCATTCTTCAACATAGTTCAAATAGTACAAGTTTCCATTTTTGGTAGCTGTAGTAACTGGTTTTTGTTTTTCATCTAGAACTTGACACATTTGTTTCAGTGAATACAAATGTCTTTCCAGATTTTGTAGCTTTAGCTAAAACCAGTAACTATTGTATGATAGTTTGGGAATATATAGAGTCTCATACAACTTGCATTTTTGCTGCAATCTGAAAATTTCACATTCAGTTCAATCGTTCCTATTCCCAATGCTTCAACTGAATAACCATAACCAAGAGTAATTTTCTCTGCTGCATCCAGCTGTCTAAAGCTTAGAAACTTTTTCACATCATAACACATGTGACATGTTGCTCCAGAGTCCACAATCCAGTTCCCCTTTTTCCTTATTATATTAGTAATGCATTATTTGCAAATAAACCATCAGAGTGCTAATTTCTAAGTTAATGGAGTCTCATTCCAATTTCATCAAGGTATAGGCTTTCCTTTGGGAGAAATTCCCTTTCCAATTCATCTCCTTTGTATCTCAACCAAGTAGTCAACAGTTATGTTTCATATGTCCATTTTTTTTGACAGTGATAACACTTGGTCCACTTTGGTTATGTTTTGATACCATAGCTTTGGATTCAGCACTACCACTTACTTTTTCTTTAAACTTTGACTTCTCACACAACAATCATTCAGTCACCAGTGCCCACTTAGGTACATACTAGCTAGCTTCAAGTGCTATCACCAACATATTATAAGAATCTGGTAGGCTAGCTAAAAGATGTACAACTCAATCCTCCTCATCAATGGAATTGCTGACAACTCTTCAAATATTTCTGTCATTGTCTGTTAACAGAATCACCTTCTTTCAATTCAAGTGAATATAATTTCCTTCACAATGCTAACTTGTTTGCCCACATTTTCTTTCGAAATTGGTCTGCTAATTTATTCCACATCACAGCATGATCGTTAGGGTCCCCAATTAAGTACAAAAGTAATGATTCAACTGACAACACAATCATCACCAAGGCATGGTCTTCCTGCAACAAGTATTTTGAATACAAGTTCACATCTGTTTTAGGTTCAGGAACAATCTCTGTCACAATAACTACGTTCCATAAACCCTCTCTGATCAATGCCACTTTGCATTGCACTTTCCAAGTGGTATAATTTGCCCCATTCAATGGCAAAAGATTAATAAGCTTTGCTTCCATTGGCATATTTAATCTTATTACAACTTGGTAAAATTCTCTTCCCTGTGCAGCAAATTCAAGATGACCATTATGATCACACAAGGTCCTTAAAGTTCAACATATTCTGGGCCCATAACCTCTGTTAGAAATTTAAGCATCAAGTTAGATATCAAACATAGACATACAGTGTTTTATGTGAATACAGGTATTCAACTTCACATTCCAGACAGGTGGATAAACTGAAGAAGTAAACTGACACATGTTGTGCTGTGTTAACACATGTGGTGACTTTTTCACGACAGTGTCCTCTCATAACAACAATAAAAAACAAAAAAACTAGGGGTAGATAACTCTCTTTCCTTTATCTAACTGTAATTGTTCATCTGACTAGAGTGGAATTTTCATGTATGATCAGATGTCAGCACATTTTAGTCACATTGTTTGTGATGCACTGGCTGACATCTTTCATGAAAAATGGATAAGTAGGGGAGAACAAAAGTTCCATGGCCTGCACATTACCGCCCCCCCCCCAACCTCAATCTTTAGGATTTTTATGTGTGGCCACCACAAACAATTGGTTTATGCAGCAGACATTAATAATGCAGAAACACTTAATCAATGTGTCCATGGGGGTCTGTGAAACCATTCAACACTGTGTGAAAGGGTCTACCAGTCAATGATCTAACAGGTGCATGCATGTGTATAAGCAAGTAAAGGACATTTTGAATATTTGTTATGAGTTGCTGCGTACAACAATGGCCTTTTGGACATACGACTATATGTTTACCTTCCTTTGGTGTGAGGAACCAGCCCCCAAAATTTGTAAAATATTTTTATACACCCTGTGTGTGTGTGTGTGTGTATATATATATATATATATATATATATATATATATATATATATATATATATATATATATATATATATTATTAGTAGTAAATAGCTTATAAGTATAAGAAATTATACTTGTTCAGAAAACCTTCAGTGTTTTGATTTTCAAATAATCAAACCAATATCAAAGGGAAAAAAGAAAGAACCAAGAACATGTACGTTAACCGAAAATAATTGTCTAGCATGCAAATCAAAAGCCCAAAGAAAAAAAAACCCACGAAACCCCACCTTTTTTTTTAATTCTCTCTATTTGAATAAATGCTTCTCCTATATACATACATATTTATACATATACATATATACATACATACATATATATACATATATATATACACACACATATATATATACATATACATACATATATATATATATATATATATATATATATATATATATATATATATATATATATAATTATGAGGATACTTAAATGCAGTTGCCTATATATATATTTGTGTATCTATCCAATCCATAAGATGACAAGTGTTCATGCATGATGTGGTTAGGCGCATATGCCAATAAAAGCATGCATGCCTACTAAAATGCATCAATACTTACTTGTGCAAAACAGAAGTGGATGCATAAATTTTTTTAATCATTTTACCACAAGCAAGGTGATAATATCACTGAAGTTAAAAGTAGTGAAAGAGAATGAAAAGACTTTAATGGGAAGAAGTAAAATAAAGAACAATAAAGGAACAGGATTCAGGAATGCAGAAGAATTCCATTTTGTAAATTCAAGAATCAATACTCACTGCAGTTTTCAGGTTCATCATCTGCTTGGGGACAAGTAGGTTCTCCATCACACAAATGAATTGGATGCAGACATAAGTTGCTATTCTTACATTGGTAGAAGCCTTTAAGACAACCTGAAGGTAAAAATTGATCCCAAAACATCAAAATTTTCTCTATTAAAAATTGATTATGTTATGATTTAAGTTAAGCTTTTTTGATTCCTGTAGCAACTAAAGATAATTTTACAGAAATTAAATGGTTATTTGTTAAAAGTCTACCATAGAAGATAATAATAGAAATCCTGGATTGAATTGTCAATGAATTTTGCATTTTGAATCAATCAACTTTAAATATATAGAATGAAAGCAGAAAGAAATAATATCTTTATAAGTATTGATTATTTAAAAAAAAAGAAAGAGATTAGCATATGTATTAATGCATATATTACTTCAGATAAATTTATGTTTCCAAAACAGCACATTACAATTCCTATGTTGATTGATGTTTAATAAGTATTCTGTGCCAGATTTTATTCTGCAAGTCAATGTTTTCAGAATAAAATTGACATTCTATAAACTTTATCAATCTTTTGACTACTGATATTGTGAATTTTCTAATCTTTCAACTTTAACATTACTTGCAGTAGTTTTTATTATTTGGTTGAGGTCATTTTTGCTTGAATATTGTTTTCCATTCTTATTTTCATCTATTTTTATGATGGACAACAATATTTCTATTGGATTAATATCTGGAGAGGCCAGGGGATATTCTATTAATTTGAAACCTGTTTGACAAGGTTGGCAATAGTTTGCTTTGAACAATGTGAAAGAACATTTTTTTTTTTGCATGAATAGAACATTTAGTTTAAAGCTTCTTGGTTGTGACCTATACAAAACAAAAAACATCTTCAAGAATTTAAATTAGTTCTTTGTGTTAATCTTAAATACTTTGTCATTTTGCCCTGTAAGAAATGTAGGGGAACCACTGAGGAATTTTGTTATGGGAATGTAAAAGGTAAAATCTTACCTTGAACTTTGGGATGCAATGGACTTTTACTTGTTGTTGTGTTACCTGCAAATATGATCATAAATTCAGGTATAGGAATCTTTTTGCTTCATTTTGGACAAACATGAAAAGCAAATAAAAATGTAGAAATTCATGCAGATTAGATATAATCCTTATAATATTTATAAATCATCTTTTCTTATATTCTCATGTTTTGATTATAAAAACTAGAAACTCTCTAGTATTGGATCTAAAATTGCTATATGATCAAGAAATATTCAACAATTTTCTAAGCCCATGACTACAGCATGCTATAAATCATAGGTTTATTTTTTATTTAAAATAATACCGGACTCTCCTGTCATTTTTTGACATATGAAAGTCAAGCAACTCAGTTCCTAGGAACTGACAGCCAGACACCTGCACATATGATTTGATTATAGTGGTGAAGGCTTTGTGCAGAACCAACTATACTTTTTGAAAGCTGAATACAGAGACCTGGTGCACTATGTGTGACAAGGTCCCCAGAAGACCCTCCATAGGTTTTGAATTCAGAGTTGTCCTTCTCCTACATCAGTTTGCCATCCAAGGCTATAGAACCCAGTCTGTCCTCCTATTTACCCATAGCTGGGTGGAGAAGAAGATGATACATACCTTTCCCAAGGATTTTAGCAAATAAGTGAATGTAATGGATTTGACTGGAATTCGAATTCAAAAACTTTTAAATAATAAACAAAAATATTTCACCACCTTATCAAGATTGAATCTACTGTCATTTACATTGACTTCTCATGTTCATCTCAAATTTATATGTGCATAATTTTTGTTTTGTGTTTTAGATTATGAGCATAAAATTTTTTCTGTATTTACAATCTTAGAACAGTGGATAAATTAAACATGTGATTGATTTTTTCTGCTTTGCAAATATTTTCTAGATTTTCGATTGGCATTTATAGAATGTTATTGTAATGTATTGAGGTTTAAGGTGAATTTTTTTATTTACTCTGAAAAACATGTATAGACAAATTAAATCTTCATATAAGCTTTAATTGGAGAAACAAATAATTAAAAACACATTTAATATACATTTAACTTCCCTGACATATTTTGTTCATAAAGCATAGTTTTCATTTTGTTGTAATTGTATCCATCATATAGATTGAATAAATGTTTATGAATGAAGCCGTTAGTTGCCCAGGGCATTAAAAATGAATATATTATAATGTATTTTATATTTCATAAATGGTATAATTTAAAAAATCTGTAAACATTGATATTGTTATAATTAAAATAATTCAATGGAAGGCATTGTAAATAATTTTAATTTAATCTTTTAGATGATAACTATATACGAATGTTTGGAATGATCTTTATTATAACATAATTGAATGTTTTTTGAAAATAATTATATAAGGAGTTATCCAAGAAGGGAAAATCTCTTACACACATGTATAGAAAGCCATTCATTTTCCTGGGAAATATATTTTAAATTACTGAGTGAGAATTAAATTCATTAGCAATAGCTGGTGATCCTAGTTTATCAACCATACAACCTAGTTTATCAACCATTGCGCTATGATAAATGCAAAATTAGTATGGAGATGCAGGCAGAATAACAGGACCTTTTTTTCAGACAAGCAATATGGCTTTTGTTTCTCCAGGTCAACTGCTGATGTACTAAAGATAATTGCAGAAAGAGTCTATCATGCTCTAGATAAAAATGGTGATGCCTGGGCTGTAGATTGGACATCTGTAAAGCCTTTGACAGGGTCTGGCATTCAGGTCTTCTGAAAAGCTATGGTATCTCTGGGCATGTTTTTGAGCTGATCCATTTGTTCCTATCAAATTGTTAAATGAAAATTGTCCTGAACAACCAATCATGTACATCCTTTCCTACTAATGCAGGTGTTACACAGGGCTCCATCCTTGGTCCTACACTGTTTTTAATCTTCATTAACAACCTTCTCAATGACATTAGCTCTCAACTTGGCATCTATACTGATGACACTACCATTTACTCCTGCCTTGATAGTAAGGCTGATCAGTCTGACAAGGTTATAATGGCAGTTGATATACAAAACAACCTCAAGACCGTCGTTAACAAGATGGCTTGTCAATTTTAAAGCCTCTAAAATTAAATTCCTTTCCATTGATCATCTGAGAGACCCTTTCTGTCTTCCATCAGCATGGCAGATACCATCCTCCAAGAAAGTGACTCATTGCGCCTTCTCAGGCTAACATTCTCAGCAGACATGTTGTAAAGAATACATTGAATCCATCACAGCTGCTAAGAAAGGAGGTTCACTGTGTTGGGTGAGACAATTTTTCTCTCTGGAATCTATCTTGCATATCTATAATTCTACTATTTGTCCATGCTTAGAATTTTGCTGCCATATATGATTCAGTGCCCCTACTAATTTCCTTGAGCTCCTTGATAAGATCCAAAGAAGATTCAGCAATATTATTGGTCCTGATCTGGCAGCTCAGCTTTAGTCACTTGCCCAGAGCCATAAGGTTGCCTCTTTGTGCCTTTTTTATAAATAATTTCATGGTAATTGTTCAGATGAACTCTTCACTATGTTACCTATAATTTTTTAATTTAAGCACAGTACTAGACTGGAAGTGAGATCCCATCAATCTACACTTGAGCTAGCTAGATTGTAGCTGTAACTTCTATGCTAACAGTTTCTTATCTCACACTTCTTGCTTGTGGAACTCCCTCCCAGCTCAATGCTTTCCAACCAACTTTAATCTGCAGAAATTTAAATGCAATGTCAATTACTATCTACTGTCCTCCTGATTGCTCTTTATTAATGTATTCTATTCCTATTTCATCCCCACCCGGTAATTGCTTGCATGCTAGTGGCTGTACTGCCTTGCTTCGGGTGATAGTGATTTAAAAAAAAAATGATGAGAAGTGGAATTGGTGAGTTGAGTTTATATTTCCATTTAGTCTGTTGTGTTCACTTTGTACTAATGCCTTTGAGAATCTGTTTCTTCTCTCCATAGATAAGGGGTAAATAGCAGAAAATACTAGACTCAGGTGGCAACCAATCTAGAACAACAACAACACTGTATTAAAAACTGTTGAGAAGACAACAGAAAACCATTCCACTATCTTTCCAAATAAGCTCTGGTAATTTACAGACAATAAAGAAAAGGAATTCATGGAGTGTCATAATTGCACATGCTCTGAAAAAAAGAAATATGTGACTTAATTTTTAATTCTTTATTTTCAGTTAAGACCATGTAAAACCAGTGTGAGTCATTTTGTAGTTTATTGTGGTCTAAATAAAGTGAACAAGAATGGAAATAGATAGTACTCAATAATTCATGCCAGGGAAATAAGCAAAAGGGAAAATAATATCTGGGCTGTAAGGTTAGGAGCCATTTATCAATTATGGATCACACTTAAGATGTCTTTTATCTGCTTTCTCTCCTATTTCTGAAAACTACTGCTTCATATTTTTAACTTTGGCAATCACAAGCTTGCTCCTGCCTAGCATTCTAAAACCAATATTGTAACAACAGCAAGAAAAATGCCATGGAACCTCCACCCATTTAACATAAACATTTATTACTCACAATGCTCCAATCTTTTTGTTTTTGAAGCTCTCTCTTCATTTATTCAGTTTCTGATGTTATTAATGTGAAACTTCTTCCTATATTCATTTATTTAAACCACAGAAGACAATAGGAAACAATTATATTTCCCAAGAAGTTGTGGCAATTCACAGACAATAAAAAGGAATATATGGAGAGTCATGATTGTCTACGTCCTGAAAGAACATCGAAATTAAAAAAAGAAATATATGACTCACCTTGTAATTCTTCATTCTCAGTTAAGCCAATGAAACACCAGCGGGAGTCATCAACCAGCCAATCACATGTATCCATCAGGATAGAATTTTTTCCACAACTCTGCTCAACTTCTAATAGAAAATTAAATATGATTCATGCAGAAAAGTCCAAACTTTTAACATTTTTCCCCTATTTCTTGCTGAAATCTTTTTAAATATAATGCAAAAGTAACAAAAATCTTATCCCATGGCTGTTCTTCGTTTTTACTCTTTTAACAATATCCAAATCAATATGCGTGAATTGCTTTGTGCTGTTAATAAATGTTTAAAATTGGTCACATTGTTCCTATTTAGAAGATATAAAATAAGAGATTTCAGTCAATATTATTTTATTGTTGTTTAGGTATTAAAAAGGCAAAGAATATAATAAAAAGATTTTTAACACAGGCTTTAAATTTTCATTGATATATTTTGAAAATACAGTAAAAATTATCTATAACTTTGCAACGTATCATTAAAATTGCTAGATTTGTTTGTACAATTCAACCACAATCTTTTTATAATTTAAACACAATTGAAAAAAAGCTGTAGAATGGATCAGTTGAAATGTTTTGTTAACAACATCAACCACATAAAAAAATTCATTTGCCTGAACAAAGTTTGGGAAAAAATTAAGTAAAAATTATATTGACAAGAAACTGTCATCAGTTCTCAACTTGCTATCAATGCTGATGACACAACTCCTGTCTTAATAGTTTGATTGGTTTGATGAGTTCACATTGGAAGTTGGTCTAAAAAATGACCTACAATCTGTTGTTAACTGGGGCAAGAATTGACTTGTTAATTTTAATGCCTCCAAAATGAAAATGCTCTCTTTTAATCATCTGAGAGAACTGTTTTTTCCTTCTATCAGCATGGTTGATGCTAACCTCAAGGAGAGTGACTTCTTCGACTAACATTTTCCACTGACTTGAAATGGAAAGAATATATTGAATCAATTGCTAGGTCTGCTGCTAGGAAAGTTGGTTCACAGGCAATTTTTCTCACCAGAATCTATCTTACACATTTAAAGTCTATCATCATCTATACACTGAATATTGCTGTTACGTATGGTCTGGTGCTTCTTCTATGTATTTAGATATTCTAGATAAAATACAAAGAAGAATCTGCAATGTTAATGGCCCTGATCTGGCATCTCGGTTTCAGTTGCTTTCCTACCACTTTAACATAGCTTCCCTGTACCTTTTTGATAAATATTTTCATAAGTGTTCTGATGAGATTTTCTCTTTGGTACCTAGACCTAGATCTTATAAATTTAAGTGCAGTACTAGATTGGCAGCATGATCTCATCATTTTACAATTGAACTGTAAGTTCTATGCTATCTTCTCTCGCACTTCTTGCTTGTGGAACTCTTTTCCAGTTTCTTCCTTTCCAGTCAACAATTTAAATACAATGTCAATCATTATCTTCTGTTTTCTTAATTCCTCTTCTTTTATTGTCCTCTCTCCTTAATGATGTTTTCTTATTCTCTCACACTCAGTAATCCCCTTGTGTCTTAGTGACTTTATTGCCTTGCTTCGGTGATATGGTTAAAAAAAAAGAACTAGTTTAACTAACTTACCTCTGCAAACACTTTTGCAAGTATATTTGGAGATTCCATCTTTGCAGAGTGGGAAGATTGTTCCACAAAATAGCATAAGGGCTTTCTTAGAACACTGACGAGAAATAATTGGCATGGCTTCCATATAGAAGCGTTCCATAGCCTGGGTATAACTCTTATCACCAAATACATTGGGAAGCAGAGAACGGGAATAGCCAACTTGGAGACATTCTTTCACTTCCAAGGGAAAGCATTTGTCTGAAAATTATGTAAAGGAAGAAAAAAGAAATATGCTGATTACATTTAAATTCTTTATTTTGTGAATTCTTTATGTCCAATAATCCATCAAAAATGGTTGCACAGCATTAGAGCGGCTGTTTTGTCAAAAGATCTTTTTTTTTTTAAGAAATTTAATTCAGATTCTGGAGGTGGGATACTGATAAGTAACTTCCAATGACTGATGTTGTTCAACATATTTTATGGTCATAAAAAACTTTCTAAGGAAGGTTTTGAAATTCTCTAAAACTGAAATAACATTTTCAAGATCAGATGGATTCTGAAATTTAAAGAAAGAAAACTTGACCACATTAGGAAATGCTTTTTTAAATATGTAAATTTTTCTATTTAGGTTGAAATTTCATTTATATATTATTGCATCCTTATAAATTAAAATTATGCGTCTATACATTTTGTTCTTATTGATTTTCTATTCAGTGAGATTAGCAATGATATCTATGTTCTCCTGAGAGTTTTGGTAACTCATCAAGGGGCACATACTTATGATATTTTCTCCCTTGAATGTATTTATCTATTTCATGTTAGGACATTTACAAATATAATTAATTTAAATGAAAATCTAAAACTTACCAGAAGCAGGAATTAAACTTTCAGGACCTTAAAACAGAAAAAAATATTTTTCCTATTATTTTTCTCTTTCATTAATTCATAAATATATACAGTTATTTGTAGTTATCTTGATTTTATATCAATCAACAGTCAGTCAAACAGACAAACAAAATTAAAATTACTTTTGAGTATTTTGACTCAGAAACTGAACAGAATTATCCAGGAAATGAATTATTCTTTGCATGATAATTTCATTATCCCCATTTTTTAGTGTTCTAAAATTATCAACATTTATTTGCTATAGCATTTATTCTATTATGAACTGTTCCTCTTAAAGAAGATATTTTCTAGGCTTAGCCTTCTCTATTACAATGCCACAGTACTGCTGCACTGTGAGGGGAGAACTCACTAACAAATAGCATAATAAACCATCACTCCAAGACACTTGAAATATTTCAAACAGTATCTGAGTGATATAAAAAATCCGTTGGCCAAACATTGATTTTTTTTTTGTGCATTATCTCTAGTACTTGATATTTAAAGTTACTAAAGAAGGTTTCTGATATAGTTTACAATTTTTCTTTAATATAAGAAGAATATAAGAAGCAGTGACCACTTCTAAAATGAAATTAAGGAGTTAATTACATGAGATTACTTATGCAAATTAATTAAAACTTCAACGAAAAATAATTATTGAAGAACTCATTCAAGTCTTTTGTTTATTGTATAAAAGACATCCCTAGAGATGATAAAACTATTAAGAAAATTGAATATTCTAAGATTTGTCTGTTTCTAATTAAATCATTACTTTCATTCTTAAAACCACCTTTCAAGTTCATGTAAAAAAAAGTTTGCAGCATGTTTCTGACAGCATGTGCCTTAAAGTAAATATTTATGCATATAATAAGACCAAAGCAGAATTTACCAAGAAAAACAATTTCTTCATTATTAAAAACGCCTTTTTGTTAATTAAAACAAAATTGGAGAATAGTTTCATTATTCAAAAGAATGACCTCATTCTTTCAAGTATTTGCATAATTAGAAAGAAAATGATGTAAGTAATCAACAAAGTTGATAATCAAGGAAAATGCAAAAGAATGTGGGAATTAAGTTATTAGATATAAGAAAAGAGTTGGTGTCAGACGGAAGGATATGAAAGCATGGAAAGAAAAGTGAGGCAATTGAAAAATGAAAGATGGAAAGTGGAAAGAAACTTCTCTGGAGATACAACTCATATGCCAAATAATTAATTTTCTTTCATTGGCTTGACCTATGTCAACTTATGGATTTACTCACTTGAAGTAGACACTTTGCATGAAGCTTCATCATCTGCACTTGAACAGTCAGGGATGCCATCACATACATAATCTGCATTGATACATTTGCCACTCGGACATTGGTATTCACTTTTTGTACAGATCTTAAAATCTGCAAAATAAATCTATAATTTCACTTTTTGCAAAATAAATCTATAATTTCACTTTTCCACATTCCCAAACCAAAAGATTTCAGTCTGATATGAGAAAATATCATCATAGCAAACCACAATCATCTACAGTCATTGTGAGATGAAAAAACTGATTTATGCACCTTTATTAAAAATAATTGATTTATAAGAGTTGGTAATCAGTTAAAGCCAACATATATATATATATATATATATATATATATATATATATATATATATATATAAAAAGATTGCATGCAAGGACTTATTCATAAAATTAGATTAAATTTTCTATTTTAATTATGTCAACACAAATTATGCTAGTCTTCTTCTCTAAATAAATCTTTTATATATGTCATTGTCCATCAAGAAAAGCAGAATTCATAAATTAAATGTATCAAGTATAAATGTCATTAATTTATAAAATGTACATTTACTATTTTCAATCATTTTTATTTCTTTAAAGTTTAAAATTTAAATTCTCTACAAGATTGTAAAACTCAATGGACTGAAGGTGAAACCTGAAAATTTAATTGTCACTGATAAAATGTGTGTTAGAGAGAGAGAGCTGATTTTTAAATATATCTGTATGAAAGCATAATTTGGGACACCTTGACATGGTGTAATGGTGAGCAAGCTTGACTCACTAGAACAATTATTACCAAGTAGTGGGTTCGTTCCTTACTGGATGCCCCATATTTTCAGCCTTGTGCCACATCTACACATAGAAAATATCCATGATTTGAGTCTTTTTAAACAGTTTTCATTTTTTGTAAGATCTTAATTTGCTATTGATAATCTTTAGCCATTATTAGAACTGGTTATAAATGTGCATGTCTGTTTTATCACATTTTATGATTAACTTTACAGTTTAAATATTAATCTCCTCTGTCTTATGTGTGTTGTTTAAACTTGTAAAAGATTTAGAAACGTAATCACTTGGAATGATTAATATGCCTTTATTACTGGGAATTGTAAAGAGTCTTAGTCTTTATTACTAAGAATGTGTACAAATATTTAAATAGGCTAAATAATGGACAAAAGTAACAAATGATACAGACATATACTTTGGACATTTATTAAATAAAGGTAAAGAAAGGATTTTTACAGAAGTATCTTCCCACTTGCACCCTATTTTGCTCATGTCTTGCAACTAAAATGAGGAATTGAGAATAAAGAGACATAAATCAACAATTCGCCCTTGCATGGAGTATTGCTGCCATATATGGTCTGGTGCCCTTTCTGTTTGCCTCGGGGTTCTTGATAGGCTCCAGAGGCGGATATGCAATATGGTTGGCCCTGCCCTGGCGTCTCGTCTACAGTCACTTTCTCACAGATGCACTCCCTCTGTTTGTTCTACAAATACTTTCATGGAAATTGCTCTGAGGAGCTGCATTCGCTGGTTCCCAGACGTCACGAGTTCCAGCGCCTCACGAGGCTGGCATCCCGCTCTCACCCCTTCACTGTTGAAACTCCTAAATATAGCCGTCTCTTCTACTCTAATAGCTTCATGTCTCGCACCTCTCGCCTGTGGAAATCCCTTCCCTATTCCTGTTTCCCTGAGAGCTATAATCTCCAGCTATTAAAATGTAATGTCAATCAACATCTCCAGTTGCCTTGATCTATCCACTACCCTCATCCTTTCTTCTATCACCCCTATCTGATCTTGCTCTAAATTTTCTGTAACCCCTTGCGTCCTAGTGGCTTCCCGCCTTGCTTGGGGTGAAATACTTAAAAAAAAAAAAAAATGAAGTACGCAGATATAAATCTGGATTTACAATTTATGGTAAGCAAAAAGTAAGTATTTGGTATGGATCTGGTGTAACAGTTAACAACACAAAGCTAAAATTGACAAGCTGAATTAAAATTCTAGCTGAGGTAATTTGTATTCAATTTGCTCTAATGTCCTTGGAAAAGGCATGACTTCACTTCTCCCTCATCCCTAGCTACAGATAACATAGCAATGTAGAGTTTGGTCTATAACATTAGCTGACACTCAGTCTTGATAAAGGACTATAAATTCAAACCAGGAGTAGAGCCCTTTGAGGCAACTTAATGTCAGTTTTGACTTTCTTCTCAGTCTTTATAGACAAGCTGAGCTGAAGTATTGATTCCCAAAACAGCTGATTGTTGTATTATTAATTTATCTCCCATTATCTAGTTGTCCCCTTTCTTGTTTTCATGTATGCGCTTCGTCAGAAAACAGTATCTGAAGGATGATCCATGATATTGTACCTGAATCATGAATAAAGATCTTTCATTTCTTTACACATGCCATTGTAGTTGTTCTGATTAAGTTTTGTGGGTATAACAAACTGAAAATGGATTCAACACCCATGACATCTCATTGTACAAGTGGATAAAAATTATTTGATGGTAATAGATCAAGAGCTTTGTAAAATATATTTTTTGCTACAGCCCATAGAATAGAGGCCAAAAAAAGAGGTTTTAAATTTTAACATAAAATCAGAAAGTAAATAGTTTAAATTTCAATGACATAATTATGAAGGAGTTTGCTTGGAAAACTTAATATACTCTCAGGACATAGTGAGAGAAAATGAGAAGCAGAGGGAAACAGCAAACATTTTACTTAATGATTTTGTGCAAATGGCTGACTGAGCAGGGACAAAGAGAGTTGGTAGGGAGTTAAAGGTTGCTTAAACCTACAAGGAATAGGAAGTTGTGGAGAGTCATGATTACCCATGTCTTGAAGTGACACAGCACATAAATGATGATAATTATTTATGTCATCTGTATTTATATTGACATTTTTCTTTAACATTAACTTTTATTAAAATTTTTAAAATGTTCTCTCAGCATAAACTATATTAGGTAGAGGTTTTGTTTTGTTCAGACAATTATGTTTCATATTCAGTTGATATATTAAGTGCACGTAATTTTAAGCTGACTCTAGAATACAAATTTAAGAGAATCATAAAATGTTTTTTAAAAATCAATGTCTTAAACCTGAAAGTGTTTCTTTGTTCAGATTCAGTTGCATGTAAACTACCTGTTGTAGTGGTGACCTCTGTTGGTTTAGTTACTGGACAGTCCTGTTCATCACTTGAGTCTGGGCAATCAAAGAGTCCATCACAGACAAAGGCTAATTTGATACAGTAACCATTTTTACAATGAAATTCATCTGCTCCACATCCTGAATAAGATTGTAGATAAAATACAATAAAATAAGAAAACATATAATATTAACAGCATATGACAAAAATGCTTGAAGAAAAAAGTCCAAAATTAAAATGCAAAATGTTCAAACATGAATCAATAATAAAAAAATAACTTTGTTTTTATGTTAACACTTTAATACACAGAGATACACACACAAATAAATAAAAAGCAATCATAAATAAAATTAACATTCTTACTCAAAATTTCTAGAATGATCAAAAACTTTTCTTGTGTGCAATAAAAGAAATCTAACTCTTTAATAATATTTATAATTTCTATATTCATTCAATCAAGTAATTAAGTAGTGAACTGGAACTTTATAAAGAATATCAAGTTATAATTTAACATAGACTAAAAATGATGTGAATCTAATCAATGAGTTTTTTCTATGATATTTGATATGGAAAGCCAGTGTAAAGAAGTTTTCTTTTTTTTTAAATCTTAAAAAAAATTACATTTTCCCTCATGATCATATGTGAAATTGTTCTTTCATCATTGAAATAGGTGCAGAACTGGCCTAATGGTTAACATCATGGAAAATAGCATCAGTAAAAAAAAGTTCAAATTTTGTTACAACTAATAAATCATTTAAAAACTTATTTAAAAGTATCACAAGTAGATTTATCTACTACTTATAAGATGATGATTTAAATACATAATCCCTCTCTTAATTAGTTCATATTTTCAACAAAATTTATTACCCTACCTCCTCTTCCTATTCAGAGAATGATGCTTCTTCTTCCTTTCTAAGCCAACTTCAGATGACTAAACTTTTGAAATACATGTAACAATTTATGCAGTAAATTTCTGCTTTTAAAGACTTTAAAGACTTTTTAATTGCATCTTGTAAGCATGCAAAATAAATACCCTGCTTCTAATAACTTTACTGTTGTTCTGTAAGAATTGATTGAATAATCAAAGCAATAATATACTAAAGAAAATATTCTTTTATCAAAAATGTAGTATAAATCAAAGACACAAGAAAAACAAAATGAAAGTGCAATACAAAATTGAAAAAAAGACCCCCCCTCCAAAAAAAAAACAACTATGCAGATTAGAGTGGCAGCTATGAAGATATCAGTAAATTTTTCCCAATAAATTTTCAGTTCTATTTGTTCTTCAATCAAGAAGTTAAGAATAATTTCCTTCAACTTTTGTTTATGTTTTATAATATTTTTTCATTATTTATATTGTTTATTTATATTTGTTTTATATTTTCTTTTCCTCATTTTTATTTACATTTGTTTTATATTTTCTTTTCCTCATTGTTTACTTATATTTTTTGTTTTCTTTTCTTCATTGTTTATTTATATCTGTTTCATATTTTCTTTTCCTTATTGCTTACTTACATTTTTTAATATTTTCTTTTCCTCATTGTTTATTTTTATCTGTTTTATATTTTCATTGTTTTCTATTGTTTATTTATATCTGTCTTATATTTTCTTTTCCTCATTGTTTGCTTATATTTTTATATTTTTCTTTTATTTTTTCTATTGCTTATTTATATTTGTTTTACATTTTCTTTCCTCATTGTTTATTTATACATTTTATATTTTCTTTTCCTCATTGTTTATTTATATTTGTTTTACATTTTCTTTCTACGTTGTTTATTTATATCTGTTTTAGATTTTCTTTTTCTCATTGTTTACTTATATTTTTTATATTTTCTTTTTCACATTGTTTATTTATATCTGTTTTAGATATTTCTTTTCCTCACCATTTACTTACATTTCTTATATTTTCTTTTCCTCATTGCTTATTTATAACTGTGTTGCATTTATCTTTTCCTCATTGTTTATTTATATTTTTTTATATTTTCTTCTTGTTATTGTTTATATTTGTTTTATATTTTCTTTTCTTCATTGTTTATTTATATCTGTTTTATATTTTCTTTTTCACATTATCTATATTGTTTTGTATTTTCTTTTCCCTATTGTTTATTTATATCTGTTTTAGATTTTCTTTTCCTCATTCTTTACTTACATTTTTTATATTTTCTTTTCCTCATTGTGTATTTATATTTGTTTTATATTTTCTTTTCCTCATTGTGTATTTATATTTGTTTTATGTTTTCTTTCCTTATTGTTTACTCATATTTTTTATATTTTCTTTTCTTCATTGTTTACTTATATTTTTTATAGTTTCTTTTCCTCATGTTTATTTTTTCTTACTAATTTGTATTAAAACAATTTTTGCTCTCCTAATAATTTCACCATTTCTCACATAATGAACCAACAAAAATACTAGCCAATAATTTGGTATTAACTTTGTTACATGATTATAAAATTATTTATTGTAAATATAACTTAGTATTTATTATGAAGTAATTAGTGGAAATACATGTAAATATTCAACACTTGGTAGCAAGATAGAACTGAAATGGTGTGAATGTTAAAAGAATACAGGTTGTTAATTAGTTGTTGAATATATACAATTGTCAGACTAACTTTGAGCATTGGAGTATTTGTCAAGAGGTAATCAGTGATAATGCTGACAGTATTTATTAACAACAAAATGAAGCATTCATCACATGATTTATTTGTTGTTCTGGTTTTTGCACATCTAAATCTGAAGATTATTATTGATAAAAATGATGAATTACTGATTAAAGGCTACTTTTTTCTAATTTTCATTTAAATTATTTTATTTTTCAATTTAACTATTTTCAAATATTAAATGGAGTTATTATAAATAGAAATTCCAGAATTAAGAATGTTCCAGATGTTTCATGATTTGAAAATGTAGATTCATTTTGAGTCTTATGAATAGACATTGAATTAAAAATATTTTCCTTATTTTTAGCTTATTTTAGGAATTTCTATTATAAGTAAGGGATATACATTCTTTAAATATTCTTTTCTTTCATATTTTATCCAACTTATTTTGATATAGCCATGAAATGAAGTTTTGTAGAAAGTAAAAGATGAAAAAATGTTGGTATTATTTGATCATAAGAATGCACTTATCAAGTAGTGAAATTCTTAGATTGTAAAAGCTGTATTTTGCATTGGCCATTACTTACCTGGTTGTTTGACCAAATCAAATGCAAGAGAATGAAATGAAGCTGATAAATACTTCAAGTTATTTGACTGCTTGGTTGGTGAAAAATTCCTTAAAAGGCAGCTTGCATGTGCAAATTGGCAATACAAAGCACTAGTGAGACAAAGAAAAAGGGAATAAATTGTACATATAATGTGTTGATATTGCAAAAGTTTCCCATTATCCAGCCACATTGATTAGAGTTAATGTTGAGTAATGTATAGTAATGTAGTCCTCAGTGGATTTCTGACACAAAAATCTTTTCTATAAATATTCTTTCTAGGCAAAGCAATAAAGTACACATTCACATTGCTATTAAATGTAATAATGATTCCATGAACTTTTCTTTACCAATGTATTTCATCCCCTGAGACTTTATCAAGGTAAATGTAAGGATTTTATTTTGTAACATGCATTATAAAGTAAAGTGGAAGAAAAATAGCATTAAGTTTTCAAAATTTTAAATTTAAGAATGCTCTAAAATATTCTTAATGCTAACTGTTCATAAACCTACACTTAACTTGATAAAGTCCTCCAGGGGACGAAACAAATTGACAAAGAAAAGTTTTTTCTTTTGTCTTTATTCATATTGTTTTTTTACAGGTATATTTTATTTATATCTGAATATATATATATATATATATATATATAATTTGTATTAGAGAGAGAGAAATGAACATATTTCCCATATAATTTGTATTTTTTATTTATACTTTTTTCCAGTTGCAAGAAAAGCAGCAGAACAGTTTGAGCAATATGCTGGATATACATGACACTGTTCATGATTTCCCCTCTAAACAACAAAAGTGAGCAACAGTTGTAACTTATTGTGCCCCACACTATGAAACCAAGGGTTTATGAGTTGTGGGTGAATATATACTGGAAGATGTCACTCCCTAGGTCTATATTGCAAATAAATGCAGAGCTTGCTTTTATCAGTGAACACTAGAGAGTCCCATATTTGATTGTCCTGGTAACTCTTTCAGAACACCACTGCAGATATTCATGGTAGTGTTGTGGTAAATGAAGATCAGCAAGTAAACAATTCTCAAAAGTCTGTGTTGACACTCCTGCAGCCATATTTACTTTGATCTATGCTGTAGATGCCATGCAGCCTGCTACTGCTGCTCATCTAATTCATTGATCTTGGTAATGATCTATACTACATGGTCATCATCTATAGGTATCAGAATATTTATTAAAGTACTGTTGCCACTACCAAAACATGTGCAGTAACTCTTCAAAATGATTATCCAGCCTTTCAAAAGCTGACAACCAGAGAGATTCAAGTGAAGAAAAAGAGCATCTCATGTCACTTGTTTGCTATACACTTTTTCATCACACTGAAACTTATCACAGTACATATCACTAAAGATCAAACACAGATGGTGCACAGGTATCAATGTTAATAAGTCACAAAATGGCTGAAGAATGAAAATTTTATCAGAATATTTACTTCCTAACATGCACATACTGAATCCAGGTTAAAACTGGCATTTTTTTCCAAAGTACTGTAATTTTATTTTTGTCAGTGCATATATATATTATTTGGTGCACACAAAAACACATGCAGACACACATTCACACACATACAGAGAGAGAGAAAGACAGACAGACAGACAGACAGGCAGGCAGGCAGACAGACAGACAGACTAAAGAAAAGGAAAAAGAGTATTTAAAGTATGCTATTTCTGATATTCATTTTCCAACAAATTTACATTTCATTTCTTGAAGGTTAGCTTTATGGATTGTTATGCTTTGCATTCTTGTTGTGTTCAGTGTACAATTAAAGCAAATTGTTTTAGCAGCATTTCTTTTTGACAGTTTCCCAGCATATTTTTCAATTGTATCATTATTAGTTTACATCTATTCTGCTGCCGATTACTAAATCAAACAAGATTTAAGATATTATGCAAATCTTTTACTAGAGTAAAATTCTTTAAAATGAATTGTGTGGTATTGGAATCCAGTGCAATTGTAGAGGCATGCAGTGATTCATGTATTACCTTGTATTGAAGGCAGGGTTGGTGTGACCCAACTGCAATTCTTTTCATCACTTCTGTCATTGCAGTCAAACAGACTATCACAATGAAATGACAATGGTATGCACTGGCCATTGTCACAACGGAAATCATCATAGCTACAGCCTGGATAAAAAAGTTAGTTTTTAGGGCATGAAAATGTTTCTCCATCAGTTTTTAAATCTTTTTCACAAAGATTTTGCAGTAATATATAAATATAATAATAATAATAATAATATATATATATATATATATATATATATATATATATTATAGTAAAAGAAAGAACAGTAAGATATATAATCCAGTGTTCTTATTGATATTTTTTATTTTTACAAAACAGTGCTCAATGTAAATTTACAGAGCATAAATATTATAAATTAACTGATTTAAAAATATGGTTCATTCACTACACAAGAATTACCATGTTTCAAAAAACGATGCTAAAAACTTCAAATTTAATTATATAATTAAATTAAAAGCATTAGTTCTGTTTCATCTTCAAGCGAATTTTGGAATAACTTATTTTTAAATTTACTGAGTTTTAAATGCATATCAAATTCATAATTTTTTGTTTCCAAGGAAAAAAATTATTAAAACATATCAAATATAAGTATGTATATTACCAGCTCCCATCTTTTTTTAAATATTATTATTTAAGGAAATTTTTTGACAATGTCAGCAAAGAATAGCTATTTCATTTTTTTTGATTCAGTAAATTTTTATTTTTTATAAACTTAGTAATATATAGTTTCTCATGTATGCACAAAGAACATGGATCATTTAATGACCTACATACTTTAGCTTTTCTTATTAATTTCCATTTTACTGTAGGTGTTTTATTTGTTTCTTTTAAGTGCCAGAAATATTTTCATAGGGACGTTTGATTTTGGTATTTATTTATCCTAAATGAACTTTGATGTTGATTGAATATTTTTTTGAGCTCATAGCTTGTGCAACCTATATAGATATTTATATTTTCAGGATTCTCAATAGATGAGATATTGCATTGGTATACTAATGATTCCGTGTGACATTTATTTTGTAGAGGACAGTTATGAGGATTTCTACAGTTACATAATTTTTGTCTATCTTCATCTCTTTTTATTTTTATATTGTCAAAATTTCTTTGGTTATGGTGTAAGTGTTTATTCAAGATATTAGCATTATGTTTCTTAATAATTTTCTCTAAGTTTTCAGTACAGATGTAAATTAATTTTATTTTTATTGAAAATAGTACTTAGTTTACTATCTTTAGGAAAATGTTTAACAATTAATGCAAGTAAATTTTGTCCTAATTTAATCAATAAAAATTTACTGAATCAAAAAAATAAAATAGCTATTCTTTGCTGACATTGTCAAAAATTTTCCTTAAATAATATTTAAAAATAAAATAAAATAATTAAAAAAAATGGGAGCTGGTAACAGAACTAATGTTTTTAATTTAATTCTATAATTAAATTTGAAATTTTTACCTTCGTTTTTTGAAACATGGTAATTCCTGTGTAGTGAATGAACCATATTTTTAAATCAGTTAATTTATAATATATATATATATATATATATATATATATATATATATATATAGAAAAAGAGATGTATAGCTATAAATATTTACATATGTGACAATTTCAAAAAATATCATGTAAAAACTATATATATTCCTTATAACTGAAATGAATATATATATGTGAATTATCAGTTTCATCTTTGTTATTAACATGGTATTTTGGCCTCTAAATTGTTCAACTTTTCTCTTTGACTTTTGTTTTATCAAATTACTTACATTGACAGTACCAGTTAAGAAGCTAAAAAGAAGTCCTAACTAAAAAGATGAAAAACAAAAATAAAATTAAAAAATAATAAAGATAAAAAAATAAATAAAATAAAAAAGTACTAAGTATGAATTTTAAATACCAGATAGATGAATTTTTCTTCCTGAAGAAGGCTAGAGAATAATTGAAACTGTGTATTAATAAGCATAAAAGTAATATATTATATAATAAAATGCTTTTAAAAATATCAGAGAACAAGTAGAGAACAATTTTTTAAATAAAAATGTAATAAAGATATTTTTAAACAAAAATATATTTCAATCTTTTATAACAAGTAGTTGAGGTGAGTAGTTTAATCAAGTCATTCTGGGCCCAAACTTGAACTGTACTTGTTATTATTGTAGTCAAATATCAATACATTTACTAATTAACCCACAAATGACCTTTGGAAATTCATTCACAAATACAGTATTATAAAATAAAATCCTTTATTATACATACAACTCGTACAGTTTAATTTTTAAATATAGATATATGAAAGAGGAGATTCTATATAATTACTGCACATAGGACATGACATTGGCTGATTCAGAAACATCAGGAATTTTTTTTTTTTATTTTACACCCTCTGTATTTCTTTTCATTCTTTATGCCAATTTTATAGATGCATTTTCAGCCAATGAATTTTATAACCAATTTTGAAATATTATCTTTTTCTTTTTTTTTCAAAGCAGATGTTGTAAAAATTTCAAGTGGTAATTTGCTATGAATAATTTTCCTCTTTATAATACCTAGCACAGGGAAACTGTGGCCCTATACTCCACAGAGGAATCTACAGGTCTAACATAAATCACTCTGTATACTCTTCTGGTTTTGTTTTTCTCATAACTCAATATAAAGTTTATGCATTTCATATTGTCAATTAATATAAAATAAGCTGACTGTATCAGTTATGTTCATTATCAAATCTAATAGTAAACAACAACAAATGATGTTTTTTGATAATTCACATAAAAAATGAAACAAAGGCAATGGTTGAACACACAATCAAAACACCTCAACTTTTATAATGCTCAAAGATGAAGATATTAGCCTAAATAAGTAAATGAAATATTAATTTAAAAAATAGGAAAGAATTATTGCATAAACATATATATTTTATTGCTAATAATTAAACATTTTCTCAAAAGATAAACATTAGCATTTCCTAAGCTAATATACCTATTACTTTATGTATAAAAGCTTAATAATAGCTGACAACATACTTAACAATAATGCCACCACGTACTAGAGCAAAAGTATCTTTATTCAAAAATATTTTGCTACTGTGATTTTTTATGTCTTAAGTAATAGATAAAATAAAAATAGGGTGGATGAAATATAAATAGAAAGATTAAAACAAAAAAATGAGATTAAAAAAAATGAGATATTTTTGGATGAGAAATAAAAAAAAAATAACCCAAGCTGAAATAACATGTTCAAAACTTTACTATTTTGTCTAAACGGAATTTTGTTTCCTTCTACATCTTAAAATAATGAATAAAGATCACTGTTAAACTAAAATACTGTTCACTTTTTGTCTGATGGTTTTAAATACTTCTTGTCGATGCAAAACACATTTAAAATGTTTAGAAAAATATGCATAGAAATTGGTATAAAGCAAAACACAGAAAAGAGCATAGGCTAGTTGATTAAAAAACGTCTATAAAATGCACATTTCTGTTGAATTATATTTAATGATGATTGATATAGTAGAAATAAGTTGAATATTTATAGAAATAAGCATTATATTATCAGTTTATTTAATAGTGCTAAAATTGACATTGGAATCATCTGAACATTTTCAAGACTAGAAAAATGATCAGGAAATATCAACCAAGATGTCAAATTTAAACAAAGGACAACCAAAATAATTTGTTTATTTAAATATACACAGCTTATTTATTATATTTCAGTTTTGGATTTTACAGAAAAAACATGCTTTAGAATTTTTTACATTTTTTGAGAAATAGAAAAAATGTTTTTTGTATCACAATCAACCATATAATTTTATAAAGTAATTACTTTATAAAATTATACAGACATTATGAAATCTATAAGTTATTGACCAAGATCAAGAAAGTCAAAACCTCTAGCCAGAAAATTTAAATTTTTATTTTAACATCCTGATTGGATTGTTTCTAGATAATATTTGCCAAAAAATTTGTAAAATGTTTCACTCTTCAGTATCTATTTTTTTCTTTGCTGATGTGTATTGATCAAGAACAAAATTTGCAATGGGGATGGGGATAGAAAATTAATAACTGGTATTACTCACAGCAGTATACAGAGGACAAAATATAGGCAAAACTTTCAAAATTGGATATTATATAATTTATATTATTTGGCATTTAATAGATAACCTAGTTAAAACATTAATATAAAGCCAGTATTAAAAATGTATTCAAGGTTTAAATAATTTTTAATAAATTTTTTTCCTTCCTAATTATATACATGTTGTTTAATTTTTCATATATTAGTATTTACTTTCAAAAAGGCATAATATCTTTAGCATAAGAAATATTCAATTAAACTGATGCACTTATTATTTGTACCTCAAATTATGCAGGAGACAATTTTCCATTTAATTTTAATTATGATTAGAAGTTCTGTTAATGCAAACTTATATTCAAATTGTTTAAGGATGTATGAACAGTGGTACATCAAAGTATCATTGAATAATACTTGAGGCAATTAGTTCCACAATATGTATGTGTGCACATGCAAATATATATATATATATATATATATATATACTTATTGTTTTTTTTACAAGGTATGTATAAATGTATACATCACTATCACTACATGCACATGTATTTGAGTAGTGTTCATGTGAAATTTATTAAAATCAGGAATACAATAACATTATTTTGACTTGACTGTAGTGTAAATCCATTCATGCATCGTCAGTTATAACCAAAGACATTTAAGCAATCACTGAAATCATAGGTATGACAAAGTCTTAGTTACTGAATCCTTGTGAAGTTCATACTTACCTTTCAGTGTGCTCTTTTGTGTGCTTGTATGGCATATTTCATCTGATCCATCTGTGCAATCAAGAACTGTATCACAATATCTTGATATTGGTATACATGAGCCACTGTTACACCGGAACTGGTCAAGAGCACAGCCTGTGAGTAAAGAATAAATAAAATGACTAAGTGGAATTAAATAAACAAGAAACAATAGAATAAAGAGACCAGATGAGTGCATAAAATTAATTAAACTCATTCAAAACCTGAGAGTTTAGTTTTTCATTTTTTTGGAATAAAAAAAGGATCAGATATAATCATAATAAATTTTCCTTGTTTGGATTAAAATCTAGTACAACAAATATCTTAGTAAAAACTAAATATGAATGCATAGATAACACAATAGGATATAAACACACAGATGACAGATCTTTTTACTATATAAATGTATATAAATATACATAAATTCAATAATTTGAGCAGTTACTGTTCTTTTAAAAATGTATTGTTAAAAACAATTGTCATCTTGTGTTTATTATATTTAATATTTTTCTCATGTTTCATTCTGTAAATTGGCCAAAATTAAGTTGTGTCACCCCCACCCACCAAGCTTTTGACTTACATGAATTATCATTGAGGAGTGAAAAAAGAAAATTAAGTGTATTTTAAAATGTTGTTTATATTAATTCTTTTGATTTTCTTTTTGTAAGTGTATTTATTTTTTGAAAACTAAATCAAATGCATTTTAATGCATCAAGTCAAGTGACACCAATGTTAATAATATGCTTGGAATAGTAAATAGTATCTTTAGAATAATAATTCTTTTATATGCATTCATGAATACAAAGTTTCAGACTATATTTTAATTTATGGATAGCTGCTTAAGTTGGACATAAATAGCTTTTATTAGTCTTTATTTTTTACAATTATATTCATAAACTATTTATTAGTCTTTATTTTTTACAATTATATTCATAAACTATTCGGGTATTATTAGAATGGAGCCATCTAATATTACTATAATAATATAATGATCAGCCCAAAACAAAGTGGAGCCATAGCACCCATGGTATAATTAGCAATTTCACAAGCCCAGACGAAGTGCTGTGTTCAACTTTATAGAATTAACAGGGGTACCCTGGCAAGTTTTCTGCTCCTCTATCCCATGGAAACTAAAGAATGATGGAATAGTCTTTTGGATGTGCATCTGGTACTTCTTGCATTCAATCTGGATGTGATTTGAGTCAGTGTCATGTCTGCTACTGTTAACAATTCTAGCTAGATACCTCTGGTCAGACACTGCATGTCCATGGCGAGCAGTAATGCTTTCTCTCAAGTATTCCTGGTGCAAACGTGACACCATAGATTGAGGGGTGCCAAATGTCCCCACAATTTCAGAAACAGAATGTCCCATCCATTGGGCATCTACTATCATACCCTATTTGAACTCCGATAATTCACATCACCTTGCTATGAGCAGACCAGCTGGTGTTCACAATGACTTAACAGATGTCAAACTATAATTAATATAGATCTGGATAGTTCCATGGTTTCAGGATACAGTGACATTACCTATCATTACTTTTAAATACTGTTTTTCCATGATTTTTGACATGTTAGTGTATTTATCCAACACCTTGCTATGCTTAATTCCCAACAAAAAAGTAACTTTTGAATTAGATTAAATTTAATTCCATTCATTTACACATCTGAGAACAAGCACTTCTCACAAATCTATAGTTGATAAATTAATGTGTAGTTAATAAATTAATGATATAATATATCTCCAAAAGAAGGCAATATTAGAATTCATAATTATACTGATACAGTAATTTTAAAGAGATATATTTTACTTGTTATTATATAAATTTCTACAAGAAATCTGTACACATGTGCACATATGGCAATTGTTTGATTGTTTCCTCTAGAAAGATTTTTTTTATACACATTAGTTCAGTAAGCATTTGAAAATAAATGAAAAACACTCTTTAGTCTTTAAAATCAGATTTCTCTTAATCAGTAAAATAATTCCCAAGTAAAAACCAGAAACAGATTTTCTAATATATGGAGAAAATAAATAATTAGGATGAAAATATTCAAGGTAGAATCAATCAACAAAGAAACAACAATAGCAAAGGCAATTACCAAACTATTGCACTAGTTAAATGAAATCGACCTTGCAATGAAAATCAACAAAAAAATGAAATTAATAAAACATCATTTAAACAATTTCAAACACTAAAAAGATGACAAAAATGTTTTGAATATGATGTCATCAGCAAAGGTAAAGCAAAAATCAAAAGAATGACAACTAAAATATCATTACAGCAATAAAAATGACATTCATAACAAAAAAGATGGGTAGCAAAAAATATATATTACCATAAATTAGTAACACCGAAATATGATGATTAAAAACAGCTAAACTGCTTTATTGGTCCTTTTGCATCAAAACAAAAATTGAGGATAAAAAAATTATGCACAATGCCAAAAATATGTACAACCCCAGACTAATGTTAAATACAAACAACAAATATAACATTAAAAGCTAATTACCTTTAAGCCCAACAACCACTCCTGTTTACAGAAAGATGGTTGGTAGTACTTATTGATGTTATATTGATTCCAAAACCTTCAGGTGATAATCATTATTAGCCTTACTGTGCTCTGAAAACATGTCCAGGCACACTACTGGTTTTTAATCAAATGTTCTGCTCTCACTAAACCTGAAACATGTAAATTGTCCACCTTTCCATTGCAAATATAGGCTTGAATGTGATCATATAAATTGTTCATGCTGCCATTTAAATCCAACATGATCAACTGGGATAGCAGAATATGCATGGATCAAATCATTATTCCCACCCTTTAATGTCCTATAGTTATCTGCAGAAGGAGGGGAAAGTTTAGAAATTTGAGTAAAAAATACTTCAAAATTCTAAATAATATTCTCTCTCTTAACAGCCAGAAGAGAAATACAGAATCCCAATCCATGAAATAAAACAGTGTTTGGTGGTAGACAATAGATATTTAGATAAATTCAAAGAAAAAACATTATTAAAGAATTAAGCAGAAATACAAAACAAATACAAATAAAAAACTTACCAACAGTTCTCTATAAATCAATTTTCTTTTGACCTTTGCCTTTTTTAAAACATTCTAGAATATTTTTCGAAATTCTTCAGATGAAAGCTTTCATTTGTTGTAGTAAATTATATTTACAACAATTTTTGCTGCAAAGTCAATTTCTTTTTTAGTGTGTTGTTCATGAGTAAATGCATATTTTGGAGAATAAGTTTCCAAAATTCTTTCAGTAGACTCTCCTGTATTGGAATCATTATGTTTTACAATAAATTTACCTGCATAGTCAAGTATAGCAAAACAAGCACAAATGAACCCTGCCATTTGGCTAGATGGAAGCATAAGGCCTCCTCAAGAAAGTAAGTCAAAGTAATTGTTTCTCTGTAGCATCATCACTGTCATTACCTTGCATGACCAGAGAGCGCATTTCCCATTGAAAACATTTAATTAATTTTTTTGAATTTTCTCTAATAAACAAAAAGATGGTAATGGAAATTTCTCCAGAAGTAATTTGTAGACTTGTTGAGTGCAGTAGTAAGGCATAACATATTAGTTCTGCAAAAAATCAAGGACAACATCTTGGTTGGTAATATTGTCTTTTTTGCAATTCTTTTAGAATTGAGTATGGTTGTTCTTCCACTATGTTTTGCATGTAGTTCGGAAAATTTTATAACATGCTTATTCTAACATAAAAAATCTTCTGAGTTTAGCATAATGCCCATGTATTAACCACTGTGGTAACGGTATGGGGATTCCATTGCACTGGAACATGAAGGTGAATGCAAATACAAGGTCAAAGACTATTCTATAAATTAGAATATAATCTTCCTTTTTAAAAATTTATACCTGTTAGGAGAACACTTTCCTTCTTCCAAATGAGTAAAAATACTTTATCATATCAGCTGAAATAAAATCATGTCATTCATCAGTTTGGACCAGTCGTTGTTTTGGAGGCTTTTTGAATTCCCTTGCATTCACCAAAAGAGGCAGTTTTCTTATTTTTTCTGAATGTCTTATAGGTATTGGATGTAAATCCCAATTTGATTTGTTTCATTTTCCTTTCAAAATAAATTTCTCTTCAATATGTTTCATATAGAGAACTGAATTTTTCATAGGAAACCAATCAGTAATGAATTTTATCCATTTTTCTATGAGGATTTTCCAAGAAGAAAAGAAAATGTCAATACTTTTTTTCACTGTTAGTAACATATCCACTAGAACAGCCAAATGCAACACATTTGTTAACAATTTTTGTAAAACAAAATATTATAATAAACTTTATAATCTAATCTTTAAATGCAATGGACAATGAGGTAAAAAATTTAGCTAATAGTGTTCATTTGTGATGTAATGAATATGCATACACAGTAATATGATTGGCTGGTGTCAGCCATAAATACAGACTGATGTGGAGGTACATGGACTATGCCTATTGTCTTTGCCTATTGCCTACACCTATTGCCCACCACTACAATGAGGGCCAGTCCATTACGGTGACCTGCTAGATTGTCCTACCTGGTTACAGTAGTCAACAACCACTTTGCTACTTCGAACAAATATATCCCTTTTCAGGACATCAATTTGCAAAACAGGCCATATACACCATTGAAAATCATAAAAGCCAAGTAACTCACAGCCATTTATAATTAATGGATTAGTATAAAAAAAAGGTGTAAATATGCATTTTAGTGTTGAAAATATGTCTAGGGAATTGAAATAGCATCTGATAAATTCTACGTAATTGTATGTTGTTAATTTATGTTATAATAATTCAATTTTAAAGTTATCTCTCTTTTAGATTAGCAATAGTAATTTCAATCCATGCTGAATCCAATTAAGTCAACATCTTACATATTCTTAATAAATTTTATTTTGTTAAGTTATGTGGAATACCTCTATATTATTTCAGTTTAGATTACTGATTGTATTAATCACACACACTTTAGAAGCAACACTATTCAACCATGATGGGCCATTTTCAAAACATACAATTAACATTTTATTCAAGTTAAGGCCAAAATTGAGAAAATATTAGAAGGCATCCTATGATTGTTACTTTTTTCTTACTCACTTCTTCCCTTGATGGTCTATATAAGGCCCAAAACAAGATCAGCAAAGATTGTAAGTTCACAAAGTAAGAATGGTGTGGAATACAGTCAAGTAATTGTAGCATTAATATAATAGATGAGACTGAGAAGTTATCCATTTTATTGGTTAGGAAGAAATCCCAGCATACATCTATAGGATTTGTCTACAAATGTAAATGTTTTTTCAATCATTTCTTATTAGATTGAAATCAACAATATTCTATTCCAGCCCCAATATATTGCAAAACATGAAAAAAGGAATAAAATAAGAACTATAAAGAAAATAATGTCAAAAACATTATATATTATAATTAGTGGAACATTGCATGTAAGAAAGTGAATAACCTGTTACAATATGTTCATACGGACATTACTAAAGACTACTTAATATATGAAGGAGCAATGTTAATTGTTGGAATGTTCCTTATTTGAAAAGAAATGAGTCAAAAATCAACAACAATGGTATAGTTAGTCATAAGATGGGACAAGAGCAACAAATAAAAACAACTGCTAAAAAAGAAAATATCTGTAGACTCAACCAAATAATGAATTGGAAAAATGCAACATTCTACAAAAAGTTAAACAATATAGAAAAAATAAAATATTGTAGGTGATTGCACAGGTGATTGAAATAAATTGAAAGGTCTCACTAAGAACTCTTCTGAAAACTGCTAAATTGCATGCAGCAGGCCCTAATGTAATCCATTCATTTCTACAGAACGACAGTCACATATAAAAGACTAGCACAAATCCTTGATGAAAGCAAGTTTCCTTGAATGAATAATGACAAGAAAAAGTATTCTATTTCAAAATGACACTAAAAAAGGGATAATCACAAGTAATTACAGGCCTATAACATACCTGCTAACTCACTGAAGAGATTTATAACTTGCTAGATAGGGAAGACTTACTGCCCAATAAATATAAATGACAAAAATACCACATGAAGAAGTGACCTACTATTCATCAATCAAAACATTCTGAAAGAAGTTAAAGAAATAGGAATCTAACCTTTGTATGAATAGATTACAAATTGCCAATCATATGATCTCACAACATTAGATATTAAAATACCTCAAGTTGCTAAAAATTTTAAAATAGTCACTGAAGTTCAAAAAAATATGATGTAAAATTAAAAAGTAAAGCCTATTACAGGAAGACCATCCATTACTGAGGTCAGTATAAGAAGAGATACAATTCAAGATGATGAGACTCCCACCATTGCTATTCATTTGTACTAAGGAAAATTTTCAAACTGGAAAGTAAGAATTTTATTTTAAAACATTAAATTTAAAAAAATGATCAATACAATATTCTGTCTAATTAAGGATAGAAACTAAAGTTCTAAAACGCCTATAGATTTTACTTGCTAAAAAATGTATTATCTTTTATCAAAAAATGTTATCTTTTGACAAATAATTTTCCTGCTACTTATTTTCCTGCTACTTCATATGTTTAGTATGATTTTTTTCTTATTGTTTCTCCAAAATAGAATTATTAGAATTATTATATTAAGTTAGAATTATGTAACTAAATATTTTTAATTAATGTCTCATTCTTTTTAATTCTAGAACAAAAATGATTACACATAGGAATTGAAAAAATATGTAAAAACTTTAGCAAATTGTGTTTTAGAAATATTTACCTTTTATGGTTGGTTTGGTTGTAGTTAGTTGGCTTCCTGTTATATTCTTTTTTTTAGTAGATGCAGTTGTAGTGCCACAGTTTTCTTCATCTGAATTATCAGAACAGTCAAGCATCTTATCACAGCGTTTACTTTTCAAAATACATTGACCATTTGAACAACGGAATTCATTATTTTGACAAACTGAAAGAAAAGTTAGAGAAGACAAAATAATGTTGATCTTGATTCAATGGATACAAACTGGTCCTGGATTCTTCTGCATAATTGTTGCAGAATCTTAAAGAAAAAGAAAGCTTACACAAACTTAAAGTGTATTTACAGTATATGGATAATTCAAATTGAATTTTTGGATTGCATATTTTTTACAATATGAGGTGTCATCATTATAAAAGCTATGTATCTACATAGCTCTTATGAAACTATTAAGTATTTATGTATCTATATGGCTCTGAAATGATCAAGAGTTTTTTTACCAAACAAGAAGCAAAAATCAGTTAGGAGTCAACTAAAAACATTTGAAAACAAAGATTATTCAAGGGAGATCAATGTTTGTATGGAATTGTTTCTAACTCATTTAGCTGGGATTTTGTGTTTATAAAATCTTATTTACATAGCTTTTCACAATCTCTTTTATATCACTGCAATCTCCAAACCTATTATATATCAATGATGTGTTTCTTGCCTTCCCAGCTTTTGAGAAAGAATAAATATTAGGAAGGTGTGATTCTTCTTTTGAAAAGCAGAAGATTAAGTTATATCTACATATATTGGATTTTTAACTTTTGATTAATACTGCCCAAAGGGGAGAAAAGTACTATATTCTCACTGCAGGGATAATTTCTGTTAGGCTCAGAAAAAGATTAGCTATATTCTCCTTTCTCATGCTTCAAACAAATTACTTACTTTCATGGATTTAACTGACTGAATAACTTTTACTAAAAATATTCTTTTTAATTAAGTTTTGTCCATTTTTCAAAATCTATTTCAGTTGAATAAATGTCAATATTCATGGTGTTTGTTATTCCTTTTATCATTAAAATCAACTATGATAATGTCAACCAGGACATGTCTTTGAAAATAATTTTCAAGTTGTATTATATTGATTAAATAGAATAACACACCTACATACAGCAATCATCACATCTTTCAGAGATATTTTAAGATGTGTCACTTTGTTATTTCATTGAAGGTGACAAAATATTCAGTTATAACTTCAGAGTTAAAGTGATGTATATGATATTACTTTAAAATAATACTTTTTGTTTAATTTTAGGTGTTAATTTTATTGAAACTATCAGTATACAATTTGAATTCTTTAAATATCTATTTCACTTATTATGTAACAATAATCAATATTCATATTCCAGTTTTGATAGGGTAGAATTCTTTAATTGTCTGTGCCTGATGTAATGTCAATCAGGTAGATCTATTCCAGCTTCTTCAAAAACTGCTGTATAAAAAATTAGTAAAAATTAAAAATTTCAGATTTGTATCCTCATACAAAAATTGACAAATTTTAATGAACAAATTGCAAATGACATACTTTACAGAAAGCAAAAGAAATTAACAATTGAATTAAGTGAATATTTTTATGTTTTATGTTCACAGTGTAAAGTTAGAAAATTCAAGGAATTTGTGAATTTCATGACACTTTCTATGAGATTTGAATTTTTGTGAAAATTTGACATATATGGATTCTTTCTTTATTCTTTGATATTATTTCTATATAAGAGTGAAGTAAATGTTAGTGTTTAATATTAGAATTATTTTAGATTCTTTTTAAGAATTTATGTCAACAAAGCCACAATTTCCAAGTTTGTAGCCTAATAATTAAGTTATTTATAATGAATATTCAAAATGTCATTTAACATTCATATTTTTTTGAAGATGTCATAGCATAATGATAATGGTATTAATCTGCTTCATGAATCTGAGTTTAAAATCAGAGTTGGAGGATTTTACATTTTAATTACTGATGAAAACAATTCATGATATTTTATAAAGCAAAATCTAAAATATTTCTGGTTTCAATTTTCCAGAATAGAAAATACAAAAAAAGCTAATAAAAATATTAACTAATTTTATATCTAATCATATAATATTAAGTTATTCAGTTTAAATTTGCTGATTTTTGTTTTAGCCTTAAAATTTAATATTTTTTAAAACATAACATTTTTTGATATTTTTAAATATTATTATTGGTAACAATTGAAATTTCATTTTATTCTCTTGTTCTTTTTTTTTTAAATATTTTTAAAGCAAATATAGAAAGGTTCAGAATTTGCAAGTTTCATATTTTGGCTGAAATATTAGGTAGTCCCAAAATATTTTGTTTCTTCATTAGATAGCAGAAGGAGCATTTGATATTAATTTCATTAGAAAAAACTGCTTTCAAGTCTTGTGTGCAGCTTTTAATTTTTTGTTTTATTCTAGAAAATAGAAAATAACATTTTCAGCACATGCTTTTTTTAAAGTAAGTTAAAAATATAACAAACACAACAAGATTATGGAGAAGGTACTGTGAATGATTAGACATCGAAAGTGGTTTGCAAAGTTTCATGAACAATGTTCCATAGTCAAGTAGATCAGAGTCTGTCTATATTTCTGAGATGAGGTATTATGTACAGTATTTACATTAGTCGGACTATTGTCCTCATCTTTGTCGCCATATTTGTCACAACGTTTCAGCTGTTGTACGCTCCGGCCTTCTTCAGGTGGTTGGAATTTCGAACTGAACCCTTTATTTCGATCACTGGGGTAAACTTTTCTAGATCCACGTGCCATGTTTGATGGGTTGAGTTCGAAATTCCAACCACCTGAAGAAGGCCGGAGCGTACAACGGCCGAAATGTTGTGACAAATATGGCGACAAAGATGAGGACAATAGTCCGACTAATGTAAATACTGTCAAGTATATCAGTTGAGATTAAAAGCAATCAAAGCAAGACATTAATATTATACAGTACAAGAGGTAGCTAACAGGTTTCTAAACAAATATTGAAAATCATTAGCATCATTTTAATTATGTTAGTTATTTTGATGTGTGGCTTTCACATAAGTAGAAAAAACAATTGGTCTATATTCCCATATGTGACTTGCTACATAAATGTAATGAAAGCATTTAACATTTTAAAATAAACTCTGAGAAGTGATAAAAAGTGGATACTTTACAACAAAGTGCAATGCAAGAGACCATGGAGTAAGCAAAATCAACCACTACTTGCCATACAAAAGTCTGATATTCATTCAAAGAAGGTGATGCTATGTATATGGGCATATTAGATGGCCTTCCTCTACTATGAATGTCATCAAGAGAAGTAAATAATTGATTTGAACAATTAGTGCACCCAAGTAACCCAACTGAAAACAGAAATTAATAAAAAGTGTTTGTAATTAGTTAAGAGAAAGAGCATAATATTCTATGAGAATAATGTAAGATTGCATGTTTATTTAGTAAACAGACAAAAATTGTCACAATTTAACTGAGAAGTTTTCACTTATCCACCATATTCTGTTGACTTCAGCTCTGCTCTTAATATGATCATTCCAAACAGACTGTAACCAGTCTGATTAGGATATCTTAGTCCATCTGTTGCTGGGTTAATGATTTTGACAAATCATCAAAAAACTGTCAGAATAGGCCCACACATCACCTCCACTCTCAGTACTGGTTCCTTATAGAGATGTGTATTAAGCCTTCTTCTATATACCATTTACACTTGTGATTGCATCCCTAACCTTTCCACCAACACAATCATTAAGTCTATGTATGACAGTACTGTGCTTGGACTCATTTTGGTGGGTGATGAGATGGACTACAGGGATAAAATAAAAAGGTTGGTGGCATGGAGAATAAGCTTACTTTAAACACCTTAAAGACAAAGGAGCTGATGGTAGACTTTCAGAGAAATGCCAGAGATTTCATTACCAGTAAGTTTTATGTGGAGAGAGTGGATAAAATTAAGTTTCTGGGCAGGTGCATTAAAGAGGGTCTTTCCTGGACTAGCAATACCATCACATTAGTCAAGAAGTCACAGCAGCAACTGCAAATTCTCAGAAAAAATAATTTACAAAGGAAGCTGCTTATGACCTTCTATCACTGCTCTATTGAGAGTGTGTTGATATACTGCATCACCATTTGGTATGCCAGCTGTTTGGCATTGGATAGAAAAGCCTTCCAAAGGATTATAGATAGAGCCCAGAAAATAACTGGCTGCTTACTGCTATCCTTGGAGGACATTTCTAATTCTTGCTGCTGCAGCAGAGAAGAAAACAATGAAATGACAGCACACATCCCAGGTACCACTTGTTTGAACTGTTACCCTCAGGGAGATGTTTTAGCTCTATTATATATAGAACAAAGCACTTAAAGGACAGATTTTATCTTTGAGTTCTGCATAAAATAAACACAGCCGCACACTGCCAATTTTCAATGTATTTTAAACACATTACTTTTTGTTATATAGGAATAAAGTGTCACTGCCGACACTTTAGTTTGAACTTAGATCGCAAGTGAGCAAACAAAGGTGATCCCATTATTGAATCAAGTAGACAACATGACCATATATGAAATGCATATATATGAAATCGCATGATGTCTAGATTGATTGTTATTTCTACTCTATTCTCTATTATTATTTGGATTGCTATTTCTACTCTATCCATTATACTATTTCTCTATTCAGATCGCTAAATGGGTTACTATTTGAGTGAGCATTATCGATCAAGTACTATTAGTGTGAGATTATTTGAAGCATTGTTCAATGGCATACTATAGTTTTATCTGTGATTACAAGGTCTCTCTGCTACAATGAGAATTACAAAAGTTACAATGAGCATTCATTGGCATCACAAGAGTGGCAACAGGTGTTCATTGACATCACAAAACTTTTCTTCATTCAATGCTGTTCAATTTTATTGTGCATTACATAGTGAGAAGAATAATTAAATAAATGATCTTACACTTTTGCATTACTATTTATTGCAGTCTTTGCAGAATTCTCTAATTGAAAAAATAAATTACATTATCAGACAGTCTGCAAAAGACATTTGGTACAGATCTTTTCTAAGAAAAAAAATCCATGAGTTTAACATTATAAAGTTTTCTGAAAAAGAGCAGAATATAATGGACCAATATGTTCTTATTAAAGTTTATATATCTAAAAAATGTCTTATTTTTAATTAAGATTTATAAACAATCTTTTTGACCACCTAAAATTTTCAAAATTTAATGAAATTTTGTTGATAGAAAAATAATATACTGATTTCACCAAGAAAAGCCATGAGTTTCTTAAAAACAGTGTGTCATATGGCTATATTAATCAGACATCATCCTTAATGCCTCAAGGAAAAGTAAAACAAACAAAAAATCCAAAAGGGCAAATTATGCTGACTGATTGAAGCTTATCACAAGAAATATATAAATCAAGCTCTGGACAGCTGCAACATAAGGTAGATAAAGTGCATTTCTCTAAAAACATAAATGGAAAGGAATAGGCAAGTGAAAGGATACAATTCTTATTAACTGTCAAATTCAAGGATATGGTATTACAAGACGATTATTGGACGTAATACAATCATTCCTGTCAAACTGTGAAATGAAGGTCGTTCTAAATGAGTTCTCTTCCAGCTCCTTTATCACAAATGCTGGTGTTCCCCAAGGCTCTATCTTGGGCCATACACTGTTCCTGATCTTCATCAATGACCTTCCCAATGTCATCAGTTACCAAGTAGGCATCTATGGGAACAACACTACTATTTACTCCTGCCTCAATAGTAAATCTGATATTGTTGACAAAACTAAACTGGCCACTGATCTTGAAAAAGACCTCCAATTTGTGGTTGACTGCGGCAGGAAATGGCTTGTAAACTTCAATGCCTCCAAAATGAAGCTGTTCTCCTTTACCCACTGTAAAGAACCCTCCCTGTCTCCCGTCAGAATGGCTGATTCCCAATTCCTCGAGAGTGCCTTGTTATACTTGTTTGGTCTTACACTATCTGCTGACATGAGATGGAATAAATACATTGAATCAATAGCTTCATCTACTGCAAGGAAGGTTCTATTGGTTCTCTGTGTCGTGCCAGAAAGTTTTTCTCATCTGAGTCCATCCTTCAAATCTATAAATCAACCATCCGTACTTGCCTGGAATATTGCTGTCATATATAGTCTGGTGCTCCTGCTGTATGTTTCGAGGTCCTCAACAAAATCCAGAGATGAATATGCAAGAAGATAGGTCCTGATCTGGCATCTAGTCTACAATCACTATCACACAGACATGCCATGGCTTCCCTCTGTCTCTACAAGTATTTTCAAGGCAACTGTTCCAACGACCTACTTTCGCTGGTTCCCAGACTGCGTGAATTTAAGCAAACTACCAGGCTGGTATCTCGATCCCACCCATTCACTGTCAAGACAGTTAAGTGTAACCATCTCTTCTACTTAAACAGCTTCTTCTCTCACACTTCCCATCTGTGTAACACTCCCTTCCCCTCACTTGCTTCCCCAATGACTATAATCTTCAAATATTCGAGTGTAATGTCAATCAACATCTGACACCTTGAGCTTGTTCCCTGTCCATCTCTGTATCCTTTCCTCAAAATGCCTCTTTACTCTTGTTCTCAATCCTCTGTAACCCCTTGCATGCTAGAGGCACTCCTGCCTTGCTTTAAAAAAATGCTTAATTAAAAGCACTGGTATCATTTGGTATCGGAAAAAAACTGACTGTTCAGATAAATCTTTTCTTTGTTAATAAATTTCAGCTAATTCATCCTTCAACTCTGATCAGATGAGAACAAAAAAAATCCTCCCTCAGAAAAAAAAAACAAAAAAACTGGTGACAGAAATTGTTTGTTAATGGCCCTACCAGGCTGGTTTGTTTCCACAAAATCAAAGTCATAGACAAAATGTTTTTGCATTATTTCCAATGACTAATAATGCTTAGAACTGTTCAAGGTCAAAGGTGAATGTCATCAGATAAAGAGAAAATGGAAATACCCTCAGTAATTTTAAATTATACATTATATTTTTATATGCTTTCTTATCCCAACAGAAATAGCTATGTTTGTGCAAAAAGCTGTAGGCTTGAATTTACTATTCAATCAATATTTTTCAGCAGATGAATGACTGTGGACAAGATTTGGTGATGAACACAGGGAATATGTGATTTGCATTTCACTGTACCTGACAGCTTACTTCCAGGAAGAAGTTTCTCTAGAGTGGTAGTTGTTTCCTCACATTCTAATTCATCCCTGCCATTATCACAATCAGGAATGACATCACACACAAACAACTTGGGGATACACTGATTCTCATCACATTTAAATTCATTTGGAAAGCAGGCTACAAATTAAGAAATGAAACAAAGTTGCCTCTTTAGAGAGGATACATTTAAAAAACAAAAATATGCTTTTGGGAAATATGCAGTGGAGTGTTATATTTATTTTTAATTATTCAACTAAGCAACATAAATGTGGTCATGGCAAGCACAAGTCATTATTTTTCTTGCTTCATTATCAATTATAAAGATATTTCATTTGATATATATGATTTAGATAAATATTTTTTGTTATTCAAAATGTAGTCTTATCACCCATAAAGGATTCAAAAGATATGATTTCATGTAATTTAATATTTTAATCATTTAAATAATTATTTGAAATGGTGGTTGTAACCTAGGAAATAGCATGTTAGTTTATTCAGATTAATATCTTTATTAAAAGTGCATCAGTTTTTTGGGTTAATGTTATACTATCAGCATAAGGTTTACTTATTCATAAATTTATTATCATCTGATAATTTTGGAGTTATTATCACAGCCTATCACTCTTTATAAAATCATTTCTTTTAATGCTTCATCTTTCTGTACTTACCATAACCTGAAACTTATTACAGGAATTTAATAGAGTTCAATTCTTACTTCAAGATTCACATACACTTTTTTTTTAAAATATTTTTCATATATACCTGTGCCAAGTGCATGATAATTGTTACTCTGTATCTCAAATAAAATATCCTGTGTTTTGAATTTGATTACAAATTTCTCAGTTATGATATGTGGTGCCTGTTCATTGTGTGTTACCATAAATAAAAAAAAACATGATATTTGATGTGCATCATTTCTAATTTGCAATTGAGCTCAGCATCATTTTCAGGATATTTTGTATTTGTTATTCAACTGCTGTTAATCTGATATATAAAATCAGATTTCCAGGATTGTTGCTCTCTGATTCATACCCAAGGAGATAAGTATCTTTTGCAAGTTGCTAAGTGTCCTGTGCTTGGTGCCAGGTGCTTTCGTAAATGCTATTAACTTACCAGTAGACTCAGTAGTTCTTACAGTTGTAGTCAAATCATCACAATTCAGTTCATCTTGTGCATTGTCACAGTCTGGGATGACATCACAGACATATGCCTCTGGAATGCACTGTCTCTCATCACATCTAAATTCTTTAGCTGCACAAGCTGAATCAGCATACAACACAACATATCATTATTGATTTCTCATAATTGTTATCAAAACAACACTTTTACAATCATGCACTAATTTAAAACTTATTTTCACATTTAATAATAATAGTCTACAAATTGTGCATTGGAAATTATATCTCCCTACTGGTAATTTTCCTTTAATAGTCATTGTCATATCTTTTTACTACTTTGAAATACATGTTCAGTATTACCATGATATGTATTTAGAGTACAGTTAAAACATACTTGAGCTAAATTCATAGTGGATATTTTTGTTAAATGATTAATTTTTTTATAGTTTTTTATAATTTTTGCAGCTAAAACATCTCATTAAACATCCTCATGTATTGAAACAAATTATGATTATTAATAGGATAATCTATATCAAATATCAAATGAAATAATGATGTATGAGAACAAAAGAAAGAAAAAAATCAGTGTTACATAGAAAGGATAAAAATGAAGAAATGAAAGAAAGAGAGAATGTAAGAAGTAAGGTCAGAGAAAAGAAAGCAAAAATGTGAGATATTATCATTTTTAAAAGTCATTATCATTCCAAGAGTTGTTCAAACTATTGAACTCATTCTTTGTGCTGCTTTTGTTCTTACCACATTTTGGTTGAGGAAGGTTTCAAAATGGATTGGATGAAATGTGGTAAAAAAATGACAGCACAGATAATGACTTCAATAATTCAAAGAAATCTTGAAAAGAAAAAAAGAATCCAGAAAAAGATATAATAGATGATAAAAGAGTAAAGAAAAATGAAATGAAAAAAAAATGAGAAAATAAATGGAGATTAAAAAATAAATGAAAGTTTGAAGAAATACATTCACAGTTTGTTGCCAGAAGAAAAGACAAAAACTGAAGAATGAATAATTACTAGAAAAGATTTAGACCTTGAGTAGTTGTTGAAAATAGAGTTCGAACTGCTGATGTCATATGTTGATTGCTTCGAGATATGACAGAAGGAAAAATCCAGGGTTTCACAGGAAGTTTGGCTGTTGTTTTCAAATGAGGAAATACATTTTTATGATGAGCAGTAGAAGTTTGCCTAATATAAGGAACTGAAATTGTTTTATGATGACCAACAATTGTTGTGGCATCAAGATGGGGTGTTTTATATGGAGGAGTAGAGGTTGCTGTAACATGAAGCAGGGTGTTTTTTTTTACATAATCAGTTGAAATTGTTGTAGGATGAGGAAAGATCTTTATACGATGATGAGGAGAGGTGGTTGTAACATAAGAATGATTTGTTTTATGAAAATAGGGTATGTTGATTTTGGTGTTATGTTCAACAATTTTCATACTTGTAGGAGGAACATTTATTCTATGATATGACGGAGTAACAGCCGTGCTTCTTCGGGGATGAAAAGTTGTACTCCTAATTATGTTATGATGACTAGGTGTCACTGTAACATGAAGGAAGGTTCTCATATGATGTGGGGGTACTGTAACCAGCTGAATGTTACTTCTTGGTCTACTATGAATTTTTATAGACGGAACATTAATTTTCGTTCGATGTTCACTAATAACAGGTGTAGCATGAGAACTAAGGGCACTTTTAGAATAAAAAGGAGTGATTGTCAAATGAAAAAACTCTGTTCTATAAGGCAATATAGAGCTTGCTGTAAAATGTGAAATGTTAATTTTTGTACTATGAAGAATAGGAGCTGCTGTAACAGGGGGAATACTGATTCTAGTACCATGATGAATGGGTACAGCTGTAACAGTAGGAATGCTGATTCTTGTGCTGTGATGAATAGGTAGAGCTGTAACAGGAGGAATACTGATTTTTGTACTATGCTGAATAGGGCCCACTGTAACAAGTGGAATATTGATTCTTGTTCCACGATGAATGGGTAGAGATGTAACAGAAGGAATACTGATTCTTGTGCCACGATGAATGGGTACAGATGTAACAGAAGGAATACTGATTCTTATGCCTCGATGAATGGGTACAACTGTAACAGGTGGAATACTGATTTTTGTAACATGTTGAATGGAGCCCACTGTAACAGGAGGAATATTGATTTTTGTGCTACGATGAACAGGCCCTAGTGTAACAAGGGGAATATTGCTTTTTGTGATATGATGAATGGGTAGAGCTGTAATAAGGGGAATATTAATTTTTGTGACATGTTGATTAGGGTCTACTGTAACAAGCGGAATATTGATTTTTGTGCCACGATGAATAGGTAGAGCTGTAACAAGAGGAATATTCATTGTGGTACCACGATGAATGGGTAGAGCTGTAATAAGAGGAATACTGATTTTTGTGCCATGTTCAATAGGGGCACTTGTAACAAGAGGTATATTAACTTTTGTGCCATGATGAATGGGTAGAGCTGTAACAAGAGGAACATTGATTGTGGTGCCATGTTCAATAGGGACTGCTGTAACAAGGGGAATATTGATTCTTGTGCCATGATGAATGGATACAGCTGTAACAAGAGGTATATTGGCTGATGGTCCATGCTGGATAGGGGCGGCTGTAACAAGGGGAAATATAGTTGATCTACCAGGTAAGATGATCATTTTTGTAACATAAGGTAGATTAGCTGTTATAAGACGTCTCTTGGTTG